GTAATGCAGTGGCTAGAAGGGCTTTACTTTGGAAATGTGCTCAGTGCTGTTCACTTAGCACCTCTGAAGTAATTTTCATGTATAGAAACTGTGTGTTTCACCTAGATATACCTTACTGATCAACACCAAGCTCATAGAATTCACACTGAACCCATCAATTTTGGGATATAAGACAAACCCAACTCAAGCAGTGATTTTATAAATCTACTTTGACCTGTATTTGAATGAAAACAGTGCAAAAGACAAGATATGTAATGGATTACTTCACCAATTTCATTGTATTTTGGTAAATAAACCACTGCTGTCAGAAAAAAACCATCTCCAAAATGGTAACTTTACAGGAGAAGGAAAAACATACTTTACTTTTAATGTAAGTCAATGGAAGCAGAATTTGGGCTATTTTTTTTCGGCATGAAATGTACACACAACATAAAAGACGACAGGCACTTTCAAATTATGTCAAAAACTGAAAAATGACAACAATGGAGATGCAAGGTTTTGTTCCGACAGCAGCGATATGTTCATTACATCATTATATCATACACTGTGATACTGTGCTATGCAAATATATGCTATTTTGTTCACTAATAGCTTCTGAAGCATTTTTTTTCTTGTATTAAATATAAAAAAAGCTCCTAGAATGAAAACATGGCTCAAGCAAAGTGATTTTGGTAACCGCATTAATAGCAACACAGTGGATTGTAGGACTTTGCTGTATAAATATGTGCAATTTTGTTCACTTCTAACCTAATTTTCATGTACAAACCCAATTCCAGAATTTGAGACAGTAAATAAATTGCAAATAAAAACACAAAGCAGTGATTTATCTACTTTGACCTGTATTTGAATGAAAACAGCACAAAGACAAGATATGTAATGGGTTACTTTATCAGCTTCATTGTTTCTTTTGTAAATACATGCTCATTCCGGAATTGAGTCCTGTAAATGTTGGGACAGGGGTAATTAAGACTAGGAACATTGTGAAATGTTCATAAAACATCTTAAACAGGTGATGCAATCATGCTTGGGGAAAAAAGGAGCATCCAGGAAAGGCTGAGTCCTTTATGAGCGAGGATGGAGATCAAATGCATCAAAATTATAAATCAATGCATCAGAAAGAAAATCCAACAGTTTAAAAATAACGTTCCTCAGTGAGCAAATTCAAAGGTTTTAGGTATTTCACCCTCTAATGTGCATAAAATCATCAAAAGATTCAGAGAATCCAGAGTTAGTGAGTAACCTACACCAGTGTTTCTCAGCCTTGGCGGCTGGAGGCTCATTGCCCTTCACTTTTTAGTGTTCCCTGCTCTAGTGCAGGGCAGTGGGCCTCCAGGACCAGGGCTGAGAAACACTGACCTATACATCTGTGAAGGCCCCATTAACACCGAACACGTTTTGGAGCAACATATCGCTGCTGTAGGACCAAAACCTCGTATCTCCAAAATGGTAACTTTACAGGAGAAGGAAAAAACATACTTTACTTTTAATGTAAGTCAATGGAACCAGACTTTTTGTCCAAGTGATTTTGGGTCATTTCTTTTGATCCATTCATCATGAAATTTACACACAACATAAAAGGCAACAGATACTTTCAAATTATGTCGAAAACTGAAAAATGACAAAAATGAAGGTTTTGTTTCCCGACAGCAGCGATACGCTGCCTTTTACACACCGTCTTTTTCAGAGACCATCACCCATGTTTATTACAGCGTGACAACACCAAGCCACTTTCTGCACATCTTACAAAAGCATGGCTTCATAATCGGAGAGTGCAGGTGCTAGACTGGCCGGCCTGCAGCCCAGAACTGTCTCTTATTTTTTATTTATTTATTTTTGTACTGTACAACTTCTCAATCCCTGATTCCTGTATTACTCGGCTACGTTGTAAATGAGGGTCTCCCTCAATGTATTCTGAGTTTAAATAAAGGTTGATTGATTGGTTGATTGATTGATTATTGAAAACACGTCTTATTAAGCTCAAAATATGACAGTGAAGGTCCCGTACAGTTGCACAGCTGAAGACTTGTATAACGGAAGAATGACAAACAATCCCAGCTTGAAAACTGGATCAGTTTGTGTCTTCAGTCTTCAGATGTTTATTCAGCGACGTTAAGAGGAAAGGTGATGTAACACAGTGGTAAACATGCTCCTAACATCCCAACATTTTTGGAACATGTTGGAAGCATCAAATTTGGAATGAGCTTATATTTACAAAAACACTGAAGCTCATGAGGTAAAACATCAAATATATTTATACTTGAGCGGTACCTTGTGGTTCAAAGAGGTACTGCAGCGCTCTCTCTCTCTCTCTCTCTCTCTCTCTCTCTCTCTCTCTCTCTCTCTCTCTCTCTCTCTCTCTCTCAGTCTTTCAATTTTTTTTTCCAAATTCAAAGTAGCTTTATTGTCATGATTGTTTTGAGTATGATAATAGTCATAGTGAAATAATAACAATAATATTAAAATAAATAAAGTAAATAAATAAAATAAGACAGCATATATTCAATAGTAAAAAATAATAACAGACAGTATATGTAGCTTATATACAGTGAGGGGTTTGGGGAGGTCGGTGAGGTCGGGTTGTGGAGCGTGTTACTCACTGTCCCTCAGGCGGCGAGACGTTGCCACACAATTCGCGGCAGGGGATGCTGGGCATCCTTCTCCTAAGAAAACTGGTCATTTTTCTGATGGTGTTAAAATTCCAAAATTTGGGAGAATGTTTGTCAGTTCTGTTATGAAATTTTTCGCGCCAATCTGTATTTTTCACATTGAAGGAGGAACTGCAACTCTGTCTCGACCTCACCGCTCTCACAGTGACCACACAGTCTTCTCTCTCTGGCCATCTGCCTCTTTTTATGGTCACACTGTGGTCACTGAGCCTGTACGTGGTCAGGATCTGTCTCTGCTGTGGGTCTCTGAGGTGAAGAGATGCTCAGCCAGCTCATACTCTCTGTTTAGGGCCTGATAGCTCTGTAGTTTAGACTGAGTTCTGGTTTCGGTGTTCCTGATAGGTGTTTTTACTGTGTTTGATAATCTGGTTTACTCTGTTTGGACTTTGGTCAGCTGTGCAGGACTGAGGCTGCTGTGTGTTAGGGCTCAGTGGGTTAGTTAGTCTCAGGACCAGCTGACAGAAGGGGGCTGGGTTTAGGGTTGAGCTTTTCGGTTTTGAGTGTTTTATACTGTAGTGAATTGGGGTTACTGAATTCTAGATGCAGCCAGAATTTTAAAGCTCTTTCCTGGATGGGTATAATTAATGGAAATCGACCTAATTCTGCCCTACATGCATTTGTTGGTGTATATTTTTGCAGAATTCTGCATGCAGAGACTCTGTGGGATGCTTGTCCCATTCAGTGTAGTCATGCATACTTAGTGGACCCCATACCTCACTTTCATACAGCGCAATGGGCCCAATTACACTGTCAAAGATTTTACATCAGATTTTAATTGAGTGTCTATTTTGTGGATTTTTTTTCCTGATTGTGCTTTTTCTGTTTCTGCATTCACTCCCAGATCAAAGCTTCCTCAGGCCCTGATTTTCAGTCCTAGGTAATTATAGTGTAAGGAGTGCTCTAGGACGGTGTTTCCTAGAGTGAATAGGTGCCTGTTTTCCAGGGGATCTGTCCTTTTTCTGGAAGACTATGATTCTAATTTTGTCCAGATTAACTGTCGGGGCCCAGTTCTGACAGAACACTCTCTCTCTCTCTCTCTCTCTCTCTCTCTCTCTCTCTGTCTCTCTCTCTCTGTCTCTCTCTCTCTCTCTCTCTCGGTCTCTCTCTCTCTTTCTCTCTCTCTCTCTCTCTCACTCCCCAGGGCGTTGCTTTATGTGGTTTGTTCCAGTAAGACATGATCTGATTGGTTTTAAAAAATTCTGCCTGCTCACTTTCGGAGTCATGTATAAGAATGGCTGTGCTCCAATAAGCGCACTCGTGTTCTAGGATGCTGAGCTAGCGTTCCCTTGTGTTTTAAAGTGCTCACTTTGTGTGTAGGATTCTGGGCCTCTTCACAAGCCACCTCAGGAGCAGGTCTTTGCCACTAAAGCTGTCAAAGGTGCAGGGGAATCCCATCTGAGATGAGCCCTCACTCACTTGGTGGACAGAAAATTCGTAGGTTAGTCTAAAATGGTGGTGCTCTATATATGTCATGAAATAACAACCTCCACTCCCAAACAGCGCCCTATTGGTCCACACCTCTTTGAGCGAGTTTATGATTTAAACATGTCATTAATTTTTGCTCTGTAAATAGTATATTAATTCATGTATACCCAAAGGGGAGCTCCACCAATTTTTAAAAAATTCTACATTAATTAAATAGTTGGGATGTGAAAAACAGGTTATTCAGAGTGGTTTGGTGTGAAATGCTCACAGTGATGAGTCAGAATTGTTATGGTGGCGGTAATAGGAACCAGACGTCTGAAGAGTTTAGCCTCTGTGAAGAGTGAAGCCTCTGAAACCTTCCTCACAGAAAGTTGTTACATGAAATGATTAGATACTTAAAGTCTGCAACATTGTTTTATGGTAGTTTTGGCTTATGGTGTATTTTAATACATTTACTTTAATCCATTCATGGAGGAGGGGTACACGTAGGGCGCTGTAAGGCAAAATAGTACCCAAAGAAAAGTTAATTTTTCAGATTTATTCCTATTTTACCAACATCAATGCTATACATGAAAAAAAAAATCAGAAGATTTGTGTAGGTTCACTGGTGGTTTTGGATGGGTGGTATATTTGTATTGTAGTCATGGTGACCCCTGGTTTCTATCAGCGCCACTGTAAAGGAATCCGAGTCTCTACAATGAACCATTTGACACCTGAACTGAATTAGAACTACAACTTAATACACTCTGAATTATTCAGAAATTTTGAAAATTTGGTGGAATTCCCCTTTAACAGAACAGTTAGTGTTCTTACTAGAGTGCACTAGGTAGTGTACTAGTGTGCAGGGCTCAGGTGGCCTATGGGAGCACAGCCAGATCCCCGCCCTGTCGCTTGTTTCTGATTGGGGTAAACGGAGGCGGGTGGGCGGAAAGTTCCAGAAGCGGCGACGAAAGATCCGTGTCGGTGTTAGCCAGTTAGCTTCAGAGGAGAGGGCGCAGTATAGACAGTCTGTGTCCAAAAGGCACGTTTTAGTTTTATCGTTGGGATTAAAAAGCAGCAAATTCAAGAATAAACCGAGAACGGAATTGTTGGGTGAGTTTTATAGCGTTAAAGTGCTCGCTATGCTAACCAGTGCTAACTTAGCTTAGCCGTTAGCAGGCAGGTGCGGCGGCTGGGCGGGTGTTTGGTAGCGTTGGCTGCATCAGTGAAACAGCGCTGACCACCGGCGGCAGCTAAGCTAACTTGTTTTCTGAGATTTTAAGACAAATTGGTGTAGTGTAGTGTTTCGATATCGATAATTCACGCGAGACTAAAGTCGACTGCGTGTTCCACCAGTTTCTTGTACGAGTTTTCATTGTTACTGCGTGTAGCTGATGCACCATTTAAGGTGGAACGGAAAAATCGTACAAGAAGCTGCGGAATAAGATGCTGACTTAGGCCTGTAAAAATGTCCAGATGTCCAGATAGGTTCTTACTGTCATTGCTGTGGGATAGTTGGCTAAGCTAACTAGTGTAGAGGATAAAATGACCATTCGCTGCCAGCATGTAGATGTAAACTGCTGTGTCTCGTTTCTCTCTGTCTCTGATGGGACCATGACTAAGAGGACAGGGGGTCCACTCAGTTTTAGGAAAGAATTGTCTTAATATAAAACCGTGGTTCCTTTGTAAACCTATTGCTATCTTAGGCTTTTAATAAAGCAGTAAAAACATCAGTAGACGTTTCATCCTAAAGGGGAATTTCACCAATTTTTAAAAACTCTGAGTAATTCAGTCCTTGAGATGTAAACAGAGTCATTCAGATTGGCTTGATGTGAAATGGTTCATTGTAGAGAAATCTGCTCACACAGATTTCTTTACAGTGGTCCTGATAGGAACCAGGGGTTACAACATCTACAACACAAATATATCCATTTTACTTGCTGTCCAAAACCACCAGTGAACCTACGCACGTCTGATGATGATGGTAGAATAGTCAAAATTCAGAAAGAATACGTTTTTCTTAGGGACTCTGCCATGAATGGATTAAAATAAGTGGATTAAAATACATTTTAGCCAAAACTTTATTACTAAACTATCATAAAAGAGTGTGTCAAACATCAGGTAGCATATATACAAAGCTATTTCATGTAATATTTTTATGTGAGGGCCCTTTCAGGGGTATTGAACTCTTCAGACGTCTGGTTCCTATTACCACAAGTGTGAACAGTTCTGACTCGGCAATCAGAGCATTTCACATCAGACCGCTCTGAATGACTGTTTTCATCTCAACCATTTAATTATGTAGATTTTTTTACAAATCGATGGAGTTCCCCTTCAAGGTCTAGAACTGTCCCACTCTTACTGTACACTGTAAGGGGAATAAAAGATTTTATAAGAGATATTTCAAGCTGTTATCTGATGATTTATATGATGTCAGTTTTATTTGGATTGAAAATGTATAGATTTACTCCACCAGGCTTATTTGGCTAAGCTGAGTTTGTTTCTCTTATTTTTTGCTCTCTTTTGTTTTTTACAGGGTTCCAGGTTTCCCTTTAAATCACAAGGAAAATTAGCAAAAGCCAGCCCCATTGATCAGAGATCAGGTTGGCAACTGGGAAAATGGACGAGAGTGTGACAGTGATCAGTAACCCGACGGTGTCTGTGCGTTTGACCAGCACCCTCAGCTCCTTCGAAGTGAACCGGAGATTCAACAGAGGGATCACAATCGCAGAGTTTAAGGTGGCCTGCATAGTTTAATCTTTACCAGCTCTGACTCACTTGATTCAGCTCCGGAAGGACTTGATTCAGTGTTGCAGAGTCTCCTGTGTTTTTCTCACTGAGTTTACAAGGACACTTCGCTATGCGTCAGAAAGCACCTCTGGTTGTTGCTTTTACTTCCAGCAGTGCTGAACAGCTGATACCAGTTCATTTTGCAATGCACATAAATTACAGTCTGTAATTTTCAGTCTTTTTTACTGTTTATTTGTGGAATTAAATATACTGGGGGGGAAAAAGCTCACCAGATTTGAGGAAGGCAGTCTGACATAACCATGCTTCAGCCAGTAGGAGATGGTCTGGTGTCGAGCATCAGTTGATGCTGAGCAAGATGGAGGGGAAGCGAATCGATTCTGTCTGCTCACCTTCAGAGCCGCCCCATCTAAGTCTAGTGCTGCGTTTACATGTCGCAGTTAAAACAGCATCACCAGTGAAAATGGATGATCATCAGAGCAGAGCTTTAGCAGTGTTAGTTCTTTATTGAAGCTGAAAAAAGGCAGGAGGAGGTTCTGTACTCTTGATTTTGTTGCTGTGTAATACAGGGTGTGTCTGGACTTACACAGTGAGGCGTTTGGCATCTGTGACTCCCAAAACATCAACATCCTGTAATGACGTGCCGAAGTGAAAACTTCTCGCCGAAACTGAATTTCAACACACGCCTGGACGAAAACCAAAAAAAAATGTCTTTCTCGTTTTAATTTATGTTTTTTAATAAACATATCATACATGAAATCAACAGGGTAGTAAAGACAATTCATTCTTAACGTTGTGAAGATCTAGTTAGAGCAGGATAAACTGAGCTGGCAATAAAGTTTACATAAAATAAATGTTAAATAAAGAATGGTGGGTCATCCGAGGAAAGAAGTTTCATTATTTTTTTTGTGATTCTTTGCAGTTTTTCTCTGTCGTTTGTATTGCATTTTTCCCGTAATTTTAAAAACAGTTTACAGAAAGTGTTAGTGGGGACTTTCTTTCTTTTCTGCTTGTGTTATTTTGCTGTGTTCTGCATATCAAGTTGTGTTTTTAAGGGAGTCAAACCGAGTTCTTGGCCGTTGCACTCACTCTTGAGGCTCGGGATGAACAGAGAGATAATAAAAACCTCTTATCTGCTGATCCTCATAGAAACTGTGATATAGTTTTCCTTGGCTGCCATTTTATTCACCCACTGTTTGCCTGTTATTAACCTGCTGTGCTGACAGGTGCAGGAGAGCAAAAGAAAAAAAAAAGGCAGTTGTAATCAGCGTTTCCTGTTTTTTTTTATCATTCTAGTCATTTCCCAAGTATTTAGTGTTGATACTAAGTTGTTTCTTTCTTTGTTTCTATTTTGTTTGTTTCTATTTCTTTTTTTCTCCCTCTCTTTAAGCCAGAGGCCAAGATTGCAGCTCTTCCGCTTTTCCCGAGTGAAATGTTTTGATGGCCGAAACTTTGTGCGTCCCAGAAATCCAGTTTGTTTAACTGCCATGATTGACAGCAGAAATTGGGGAAATTGAACTGGTGATGGAAAACTCTGCTGACCAAGTCTGACCATGTTGAACAGCGAATTTTCCTTTGCTGTTGAATTGTTGTCCGTCAACTGGTATAAATGCAGCACAAAGATCTATAAAAACTTAAATATCTTCTGTGGAAAAGAGCAGCAACTGCCAGCAACCTTTTTCACAAGTTTCACGATCGATGACGCTGCAAGAAAACAGCAACATGTGTCCATCTTTTTGACAGATATCACAGTGTCCTTGTGACGGTCACCTCAGTCTTTGTTACCTATGTCGTCCTTGTATTTATACTGTTCTGGTCTGTGTTTCCCTCAGAGCAAGCTGGAGCTCGTGATTGGCTGCCCTGCTGCCTCCATGGACCTTCAGTTGTTCAGCACCTCAGACAAGTTCTTGCAAAATCTTGATGATAATGAAGCTCTGTTGGGTTCCTACCCTGTAGATGATGACTGCAGAATACACGTAAGTCCGGACGGTTCTGGGAGGACATGACTTTAAATATTTGAAATTCTGGCTTCTGCCGCCTCAGTAATCAGAGTAAATCAAATCTTTGTCCTGTGCGAATGATTACTGGGTAGATAAAAGGGACCTGATGTTAGTTTATGAAAAGTCGGGACCACTTCGGACTGGCTTTGTTTAAGATAAGCTGATAAAGAAATTGTTTGGATATGGTAATAGTGAAGTTTTGTTGTAAATGCAGGTGATTGACCGCAGCGGTACTTTAACTGGAGCATTCAGTGATTTATCCAAGGTGGAGAAATATGAGATTTCTGAAGAAGCATATGAGAAGAGAGCAGGTAAGCCTCTTTCTGTGAATGTCTAAAGGAGCTGTTGTATGTGATGTTTCTGTTGATGTGGGCTGTTCTGCTGTAGATTGCTTGGTTATTTAATACATCATCACTGTTGGAATAAAATGCTCCAAAATAGTGATTTTTTTTTTTTTGAGGGGAAAAAAAATAGCTATTAATTTAAGTAAATGTAACAAGAAGTAGTTTTGATATGTTGGTCATGAAGTTTAACTTGATGGAAAGGGAAACTGGAGTTGTCAAATTATGCAAAGTAATAAAAACAGAAATTAGTCATTCTACAGAAACGTCCATTTTTTTTTTTTATCTGTCCATAGGAGTCACTTGTGTTACCAATCCTCATTGGTGTTGCACATAAGAAAGGTAACACCAGTGACGTTTTTAATAAAAAATGCATTTTACAAAATAGCTGCTACAGAGCATCAAACCACATGGTGTCAGTCATGGAACATCCATTAAAATATGACATTTAATCCAGTTTGATCCAGATTTTTTCACCATTACCTCAGAATAAAGTCGGTCACACCAGCGACTTCGACTAAAAGCTTCATATGAAATCATGAGCTAAATGAGAAAATCTCTGATAACTGAAAGACACAGTGGACTCACCATGTGCTTTTCTTCATAGATCCTCAGAAAATAGGTCAAAGGAAGTCAAGTGATGTCATCAGTGTGATTTTTATTTTAAAATAAGAGATTTTTTGTTATGCAGTAACACCAGTGACCTGACTCCTGAGGACAACTTTCATTATATATTTTATAATATGTATTTGGCATTTGTTTTCCATGTCATTTCATATATTTCATAGTCATGTATAGATTATTGCAGTTAAAATTACAGAAAAATGTGGGTTTTTTACCTCAAAATACGGCCTCAGCCTTTACACATGACTGTGAGGACGAGCTCTTCTGTGGTGCTTGGAATTCTTTATAATTGATTTAAAAACCAATATTGCTAAATTGATGCTCGAGAAGGTGTAATTATTAAAAATATCCTATTGTTTTATTTTAAAGTATAAATAAATTGTAACCCTAACATGTTTTTCAAGTGTAATATATCTGTAAATGCCAGGGACACAAAAATAGACTTATCTGTAGAATGACCCAAATTCAGAAATTTCAGAAATGGAGGTTGGAGGTTTTGTTGCATGTAATCATGTGATTTGTTGTTAGTCTGGCTTAGATGGCTAGTCTAACTGAAGTCTGATCATATAAAAAGCATGGTTTGATTGTCTTAGTCTGATTAAGGTCCTACCGACCAAAGCTTAGCAAGATAAAAACATATTGGATGTAAACATGAATGCTTAGATCGCTCTCCAGTCTAGATCGATCAGAGTTTGCGCAATATTTTACAGCACCTCCTGCAGTGTTATTGTATTGTGCGTGATGAAGAGCATGTTTCATGGCATCGTCAAGTCCAGGGGTGTGAAAAAAAAAAAACCTTTTGTACTTTATTATACTTAAATGTCAATTTTATTGTCATTCCATCTATGTACAAGTACACAGTGGAGCGAAATTACGTTCCTCCAGGAACAACAAGGTGCAACAAGGAACAAAAAGTACAAAATTAAAAAGTGTATTTGTACTTTACTGTGAATATTTGTACTTTACCTAAATATTATTGAAATCGAATACTTGTTCTTTTACTGAAAATACATTTGCAAGAAAAAGGTATTTTACTCCTTACGTTTTCATTTAGATACTCATTACAAATCTCATAGGTTGAGATTTTTTCACTTTTTTAAAGTTTTTTATTTTTTGCTTATCAGTTCAAATTTGTTTCACGATTTTATTAAAACATTGTCAGTGTAATCATACCAGTGTAAAATAAAACTATCCAACACTTCTAGTTTATTTGTTTAAATATTAGTTGGACGCTCCTGGTCAGTTACTTATTTTGTTGATTGTCTAAATGAAAATAAGTAACTTGTCCTCTATGAAAGGAAAGCAGTCTTCTGCACATTGTAATGCACAATTATTGTTTATTTGCTTAATGGAATATATTGGAACAAAATGTTGCCTGTGCAAAAGTTATGGCACATACTATTTTTTTTTCTTCAATGTGTTAAACTCGGCACAAAAATAGAACTTGCACTAAAATTTGCTGAAAAAATATGCATTAAAATGTGATGACTGTGCTTGGGTATATTCAAATGTAGTCACTTAATCATTTTTTAAAGTATATTTTTTACTCTATATTTGTAAATAAGTAAGATTTTGACACAGTTGCCCATAAGTTCACTGAAGTGCATTTCCTCTGTACTTTTTCCATCCCTAATAAAAGTCAAACTATGCCGTGTAAATGGGGCAATAGATGAACTAGTCTTTCATACAAGTCATATAAACTTCTGGACTTGGTCCATTTTTTAGACTAAGAACTTAGTATTAGTTTAGATTATTGTGTTCATGTAAAGTAACTTGTTTGTCCAAAACATTATGCTAAAGACAAGGTGCGATATGAGAATTATACTTTACTAAAGTCTCCCGAGTTTTATGATGTTTACTTTCAGTCTGAACGTACTGGAGCACTGGAGCTTGTTTGATTTTGCCTTTTCCTTTAATGACCGTGATGTATAATGTTCAAACATATGAGTGTTGACCTTTGAAACGCACCATGATTTAATGATGCCGACTTTTCTCAGACTCGCTGCGGACTTTCAAAAAGAACATGAAGGTGGGACGCTTTAACGAGGAGAACATGGCCAAGCATGAGGAGGCACAAGCGCAGAAAGAGGAAGAGGAGAAAGCTGCATTGGCCTCTATCACTGTCGGAAAGCGCTGTCAGGTTCAAGTCGCCGGACAGCCCACTAAGATCGGCACAGTTATGTTCGTGGGTGAGTCTGGCTGAAGCTTATCCTCATTTTTCTCCCCCCACTGATCCTGAACTAAGGTCTTCAGTAGATTTCTGATTGAACAACAATGTCTTTTGTTTATGCTCTTACTCAGCAGTCACATTTGATTGAGAAATACATTGTGTGGTCTAGTTAAAATGTGGGTAAGGGGGTCATGTGGTTGAATATTTAGGCTTTGGGCGTCGCTACATTCAGCCTGGCCACAGTTCAGCTGATGGTGGTCAACCACGTTGAGCAATTGTCTCCACCATGAATGAAAAACAGTTGGGATTAATATCCCTTTGACAGACTGACTCTCACTCTCCCACTCACTGAGTGAATCAGACACAGCGGTGCTGCTGGAGTTTTTGAACACTGTGTCCACTCACTGTCCACTCTATTAGACACTCCTACCTTGTTGGTCCACCTTGTAGATGTAAAATCAGAGACAGTAGCTCATGTGTGTCAGCATAGTTTGTGTTGGTCATCCTGTTGGCTGGATATTTTTGGTTGGTGGACTATTCTCAGTCCAGCAGTGACACTGAGGTGTTTAAAAACTCCAGCAGCACTGCTATGTCTGATCCACTCAGACCAGCACAACACACACTAACACACCACCACCATGCCAGTGTCACTGCAGTGCTGAGAATGATCCACCACCCGAATAGTACCTGCTCTGTGAGGGTCCATGGGGGTCCTGACCACTGAAGAACAGGGTAAAAGGGGGCTAACAAAGTATGCAGAGAAACAGATGGACTACAGTCTGTAACTGTAGAACTACAAAGTGCACCTATAGTAAGTGGAGCTGATAAAATGTACAATGAGCACAGAAACAAGGAGGTGGTCATAATGATGTTATGCCTGATCGGTGTAGAAGTGTGGTTTGGAACACAGCCAGAAGAATTTTTTAACCTGTCTCTGATTCTCATTCAACTCATTGGGTTGAAATAATAGCTTGTTTTCTTGAGATTTTAATTTAGTAATCAGGAATGTCTAAAAACTAAAATTTGTGTTATTGCTTTTTGAGAAAATGTGTGATTTTTACATAATGAATAAAAAATTGAGACCATAAGTAACTTATTGGCTTACAATATGGACACACATTCGTTTGGTGGTTTGGGCTGAACTTGCGTTCTGTGCCGAGTGTGTTTTCAATTTGAGTGCTTGTCGTTTGACCTTATTGTGAATGAGTCCTCTTAGTTCTGTGCAGCATTACCATTTAAACTAGTTTAAAAAAAGACATGCAGAATGTCGAGATATGTTGGTCAGTTAGCTGACAGCCTGGTCTGTATTAATAATGTATTTAACAAGAATGAAGGGCTTAATAAGTAGCACTTAGTAAGATAACACGTAGTACTTTTGATGTAGAAAAATGATAATTTTATTTCTCCTATTTCCTCCTGGAGCAAAGGAACTGTTTTTTCATAAAGATATCTTGTTATGCAGTAGGTTCCAAAACATACGCACACAAGTAAAAAGTAACATGTAAAGCTGGTTAAAAAGATAAATGACGAGTTAAAATGTCTGATATAAAATCAGTTTGAAGTTGAATTAGTCTAAGTATGTCTGATTGTCCAACTGCTAGGCTTGTTTGTTGGAGCACTTTGATGGTCATATGGGTAAGACCTGGTGTGCTTTCTAACATAGGCTGACAAAATATTATTTATATTTGAGATTTATAGATTTATATTTGATTGTTGGAAGCAAATTTTAAGACCCCCCCCCCACAAAACAGTCTGAATACAGTATCATGGTATGGTAACTGTAATGTTTCTGTATGTTATTTAAAAATACTTCAGAGTTGAGGAAATAGCTTTTGACATTTTTGCATATGTTAAGCATCTTTTGCCCACTAGGCAGTTTAAAACAGTCTTTTACAAAGTTTTTGAGAATTCCCTAATGTGTATCCCCCTGTCTTCAGGTACGACAGATTTCAAACCAGGCTACTGGGTGGGTGTGAAATATGATGAGCCTCTTGGGAAAAACGATGGCAGGTCAGTAACTCCTTCACACGTTTTCTTTACACCTCAGTTATTTTACAGCGTGCTTCAGGAAGGTATAAACTGAGTCTAAAGCTGGCAGCATGACGTCTATATGAGTGAATTGTTATAGATGTTGCACAACAAGAATGATTTTTAGTTTTGGGAATAGTAATAAGAAAAACTTAACTGTAATGTATTAATTCGCTGGTTATTTCAGCTTGTTTTGAACAAACATTTCATTATTCATAATTTAATGTAGAAACAGCTTAGTCTGAAAGACATAGTGACAAAAACAGCTTGTTTAATCTAACCCTGCATTCACACCGGCATCGCATCTTGTCGCCCAAATCGCTGATCGCTCATCGCCTGTGGGCGTTTTTGAACTCGAGCGGACTGTTGATTGCCATGGTTTCACTGACGCCAAGCACAAATCAGATGCCTTTCCCGTTAGAATTAAAAATCCTGTGAGAAATCGCTTGTGTGCTTGTTTTTATATAATCCCCTGTGTCTGTGCAATCAGTATGTGAGGAAAACGCTATTTGGTCTTTGCGATTACTGTCTGTTTGCGACGAAAGCACCTAAGCCATTATCCACCTGTAGTAGGAATAATTATCTAGGAACCAAAAACGGAGCATAGCGTTTCACAGTGGTGGAGATAAAGCGCGTACTAAGCTGCTCAGTGCTCATTGGTGATCGCCACATCGCTTCGTTCTTTATTTGCATAAAGTTAAACTCCGCTTAATTTTGTTGCGTCGCTGACTCCGCCCACTTCTCATCACCAACGTTCGTGCCGCCTCCTGTCGCTGGAAATCACCAGCTCTCATTGAAAATGAATGACCTCCGGCCGTTTTGACACATTGCGTTGCTGCCGGTGTGAATGCAGGGTATGGGATGAAGAGAGGCTGAAAAGGGTTATGTAAAAATTAATTATGGATGTTTTTGGTACACAAACTCTATGAAACCTCAAAATGGACCTCAAAAACGTTTTCTTTTCCCTTTCCATATTAAAATGACTGCTCATCTCATTATGAACACATCTCTGTTTCAGTGTGAATGGGAAGCAGTACTTTGAGTGTGCGCCAAAGTACGGTGCATTTGTGAAGCCTCTGTCCGTGACTGTGGGAGACTTTCCGGAGGAAGACTATGGCCTGGATGAGATGTAGACTTCATTTTCTGAAGGGCTGTCAGGCTGAAAAAAACCCAAAACGCCGCCTGTAAGGATGAACTCTGACTCTGGGCAGTGTAGTATCAGCCTGCGACTGAACGTTTTTTCCTCTGTTATCACAACTAATCATTGTTTAGTTTTCGGCCCGTCTGTAACAGGCCGAAAAAGTGGCCTTCACACAATCAAGAAACCATGCGTTAAGTTAATTCTTTGCAAACTAAAACAGTGATTTTTGATGACTTCTGCGCTGAGGCCACTGGCGGAGAGCCGTTTATTAGTTGAGGACAGGAGAAGGCGCTAAGTTAACCAACAGGCAAATCAGCTGAGCCTGAATTAGCAGATCGATTGTTCTTTGCGAAGCGTTTTGCCGCATGTTGGTTGTGCATTTTTTTATTTCTGAAGTGTTTTGCTTAACATAAGTGTTTTCTGACTCGTCATCCTCAGCAGCTCCTTTTAATAAAAAGGGGAAGTCCAGCGATTTTTCAAAATTTCTGCACAGTTTAGTCATTGAGCTGTAAACAAAGTCATTTAAAGTGGTAGAGAAATGAACAGATTCAGATTTCTTTACAGTGGTGGTGACAGGAACCAGGGGTCACAATGTCTACAACACAAATATAGCCGTTTTATATTTACTATCCAAAATGACAAAGGAACCTACACCTCTTCTGAGTTTTTATATGTGATGGTGATAGCAAAATAGTGATAAACCCCCTTAATAATAACCCCCTTGATAACCCCCTTGATAAACTTGCTCTGCAAGTACCTCTCCACTATGAATTGATTTTTAAAAATATGTTTTAGGTCAAAATCTGATCAGTTAAACTGTGGTAAAACAATGTCTCGAACATCAGGCAGCGCACTTGTACCGTTTTGTTTAATAACTGTTTTTGAGCTATATTTTAGAAGTCTTAAGACTCTTCAGACGGCTGGTTCCATTCACCCCCCCCTGTGTCTCCGTAAGAATGGTTTATTTTACATCAAACCATTTTAAATGACAATGTAATTATGCAGATTCTTTTGCAGATTTTGTTTTCAAATGTATGTATGTATAATATGTATAAACATTTTTGGACATTCTAACAGACTGTTTAGAAAAAAAGTCCTTGATTTTCCATGCTTGTATTTTTGTCCCCTCATCTAGATGTTAATAGTGCACTACCTTGTCTGTTTCTTTGTTTCACTTCTTGTGGTTTCAGAGCAAATAATCTGTGTTTGGCTCTTCAGATGAATCACATAACAAGTCTCAGCCTTACAGTAAATACAGACACAGGACAGTGATTTGTTCCCCTACAGAATAAAGAGGTTTTGCACAGCAGATTCTGAATGGAGACTTGAGGAGGTAGCTGCTCTGTAAGTTTACAAGTTGCACTAATGCATGAACCTGCCTTAATTTCAGCACCGAATAAAGAGGTAATGTTTTCGGTTGGCCAGCAGGCAGTCCACCATTCCCTGTTTCACTGCATAGTTTCAGCACCAAAAGTGAAAACAGCTTTCTGACCAATGTCCAGCTTCCACTGGGTCACTATTCACCAGTTAGGATACATAAAATAATGTGGATTAAGTCACTTTTGCAATCCTGAGTGGTTTTACTTTTTTTTTGTCTTGTGGATTTCAACTCAAGGTAGTTAGTGAGCCACAATGTAAAGACAAGCCAAACACACAGCGGCAGTGCTGAAATAAAACTGAATGTTTTGTACGTGTTGGAACTTGAATGTTTGTGGTGAAACCTCGAAGTTTAGTAGTTTTGAATTGAGCTTTTAATGTACCTGTGCAGTGTCAGCCATGCAGATACATTGAAGTCTTCTGTAAAGCACCATAAGCGAATCTCCTGAAATCTATATTTGCATCATTTAAAAGCTTTCCATTTTGGGCTTGTCGTTTTTTATTTGCATTTTTATTTAAAACATGTCTGAGCTCGACACTGTCTGATTCACTCTCAGTGGTTCCAGTAGACTAAATTTGTTTAAACACCGAAAAATCTGCTGTCTCAGCGTTTTGTATGCCAGAATGTGATCATGGCTTCTGCTAGAATAAACAACCAACATGAAAAGCTTGCAAATACTTGTGGTGACTGTGATGAACTTGTTCAGTAGGCAGAGGGATTCATAAACTGTCATAATTATTCAATTAAAAAAACCTGATTATGATTGACCTTTTTATGTATCGACAGGTTTTTCATGATGATAATGCATTAAATCCTACTGCTCTCTCTCTCTCTTACAGTAAGAGAGAGCCTGATAGACACACCCACTTACAGTGAGGGAGGACAGGTATTCAGATATGTTTGGTTTTTTGTTATATAATATATTTCCAGTGCATAAATCCACTTCAGATTTGCATACATAATGTCCTTTGACTTTGTACTTATGATCTAAAAAGTATGTATTCATAACTATAAACAAATATGTTTAAAACACATTCAGACGCCACAAATAAGTGACATTAGTACTTTATTGCAAAGCCAGTGTTGGGAGTTATGGCTTTGAGACGTCTACAGTAAGAAGGAATTCACTTTTTCCGTCATGGTGGTTCAGTTTTGGTGCTTTTCTTTTGAAAAACTGTCTTCAGTACAATAATTCATGTGCAAAACTGAAACCGTTAAAGATCAGTTCTTCAGTAGTTTATTGCAAATTGAATATTGCCAAAAATAAATAAATAAAGCTATTCTGTGTGACGGGGTGAACATGTTATATGTTGTTGGAAAAAACTCTCTTAAAACTGGCAAAAAACTTTGTTTACTTTTAGTGTAAGTGTTTATTCCAAGCAATTTTGAAGCATTTCTATTCCTCCTTTCCTCATGACACACAGTGTAAAGCTGCTGAGCTCAAATGATGTAGAAACTTTGATTTCTTCGATGTAGAAATTGGAGAAAAAATGGATCCTATTTTACCATTTTTAACAATGATAAACTATGTGTTTCATATATTTAAGCTTGAATTTGTTTACTTGCAGCCCATCAGCACATTTCTGTCTTTAATATAAGGCACCAAGTGGCACTCTCTTTAATGGAATCATTTTTTTTTGTGTTTTATAATAATATTAATCTTTATTTAGCACTTTTCATGCTGGTGGCAGCTCGAAGTGCTTTACAGACAGGTGACAAAGCTTAACAGTAGTAGAAGAAATCATGACTTAATTTAAAATCGTAAAAGACGGGGTCGTTATACAGAAACGTCCACTTTTCTATCTGTCCATAGGTGTCAGTAGTGTTACCAATCCTCATTGGTGTTACACATAAGAAAGGCAACACCAGAGACATTTTTAATGAATTTTAATAAATTTTAATAAAGTCGGTCACACCAGCGACTTCAGCTAAAATCTTCATGTGAAATCATGAGCTGAATGAGAAAATCTCTGATAACTGAAAGACACAGTGGACTCACCATGTGCTTTTCTTCATAGATCCTCAGAAAACAGGTAAAAGGAAGTCCAGTGATGTCATCAGTGTGATTTTTATTTCAAAATAAGAGATTTTGTTACGAAGTAACACTAGTGACACGACTCCTTCGGACCACAACTTTCATTATATATTGTATAATATTTATTTGGGGTATGTTTTCTTCAGATATTTCATAGTCACATATAGATTATTGCAGTTAAAATTACAGAAAAAATGTGGTTTTTTTACCTCAAAATATGGCCTCAGCCTTTACACATGACTGTGAGGACGAGCTCTTCTGTGATGCTTAGAATTCTGTATAATTGATTTACAAACCAATATTGCTGAATTGACGACTCAAGAAATGTTTTATTTTAAAATATAAATAATTTGTAACCCTAACCTGTTTTTCAAGTGTAATATATCTGTAAACGCTAGGGACACAAAAATGGAGGTTTCTGTAGAGTAACACAAATGAAAAAATAAATACTGAAAGACGCAGAGTTTTAATTGAACGTTGCGTTAAAGAGATGCATTTTTCATTGTTTCTTAAAAATGAGCTCTGAGCTTGACTGTCTAATAAAAGGTGAATTGAGTTCCACAGTTTAGAAGCAGAATAACTGAAAGAGTCTCTACGTTTTCTGTATTTTACAGAAGGTGTTTTCAGAAGGTCAGTATCTGCAGATCTAAGATCACGTGCTGGAACATAAACAGACAGACACTCTGTGATGTAAGTGGTGCTTTAAGGTCATTTAGAGCCTTAAAAACTAGTAGCAGAACTTTAAAACCTATCCTGAACAATACAGATAGCCCAGTCTTTTAAAGCGGGAATGATCTGATCTCTCTGTTTTGTCTTTGTTAGGATGCTGATGCTTTTCGTACGAGTTATTAAGGATGTATTGTTTTCTTAGGAAGTCCAGTAAGAAGATCATTACAGTGATCGACTCTGCTTGTAACAAATGCATGAACAAGTTTCTCTGCGTCGCTCTGAGAGAGAAAAGGCCGAACTTCAGCGATATTTCTCAACTGAGCTACTTTAGTGACTGAGTCTAAGATCACACCCAGGTTTCGTGCTTCAGGTTTGGTATACGAAGCCAAAGATATATAAAGCCGAGCTTCTCGTAAATCAGCCTGCTCTGAGTTTTAGTAACGAAGATCAGTATTTCAGTTTTTTCATGATTTGTAGAATTTTTTTGGACGTCCACTGAGAAATACCTGACACACAGCTGGTAAGTATGTATTTTTTGTTTTTTAATGAAGTCTTTATAAAGAGGCACTTCAAAATTTCTGTATGATTGAAGGCTTAAGATGTAAACAAAGTCATTCAGAGTGGTTTGGTGTGAAATGCTCTGTTCTAGAGAAACCATCTCTAAAAGCTCCCTCACAGAAGGTTGCCAAACAAATCAAGTTATAAATGCTTTAGCTGAAGGCTGAGACAGCGTCTTATGTTCATTTTGAAACAAGGTTTTGGTTGAAAACAACTTTCAAATTGTGTTCATTGCAGAGAGATGCTTGGAGGGTGTTAAAGGCAAAATAGTCGTCAAAGAAAATTTAATTTTTCTTTTTCTTTTATTTTAAGATTTACCGCTGTTTTACCATCAACATTACATATCAAACTCAATAGACATGTTGGTTCACTGGTGGTTCGTGTTGTAGTCATGGTGACCCCTGGTTCCCATCACCACCACTGTAAAGAAATCTGAGTCAAGTTTCTCTAGATTTTGAAAACAAACCACTCTGAATGACTTTGTTTACATCTTAAAGCTGTTGTAGTTAAGAGAGTACGGTGCTGTGAAAAAGTATTTGCCCCTTTTCAATTTCTTCTATTTTTGCATATTTGTCACACTTGAATGTTTCAGATCATCTGACTACTTTTAATATTAGACTAAGATAACATAAGTACACACAAAATACTGTTTTTAAATGTTGGATTCATTTATTGAAGGAAAAAATGCTGTTCAGACGTACCTGGCCCCAAGTGAAAAAGTAATAACCCCTTTAGCTACTAAATCAGCAAGTTAACCAAATTGAATTGACTATTGGGTTCAGTTTCAGTAGCTACACCCAGGCATGATCACTGCCAGACCTGCTCAATGCCACGTTCAAAAGCGATTCAAATACAGATGCAAAACAAAGTCAATTATGCAGAAATTTAGAAAAGTTGGTGGAATTGCCCTTTAAAGCCGTTGTAGTTTGGAGAGTAACTGGGGATGCTTTTGAAAGACTCTGCATGGTTGCCTTTTGTTCAGTCAAAATTAATCGTCAAAATAATCGGTAGATTCGTCGATTACTGATATAATCGGCCGGCCTGTGGCCTCGGCTGCAGACAGGACTGACTGTGGGGTCAGGAGAGTAGATGAGAGCAGCGTCTCACAGCAGCGGGGTTTTTTCTTTCTTCACTTCTCTCTTCTTTTCCTTCCTTTTCTGTAAACGTCATCGGCCCGTGGTGAGAATGGAGGCACATTTAATCCTCCGCTTCTGCCTCGTTTTCTTCCAGATGTGGGGTAGGACCAAAGTCTCTTATCTTCTCCGGCACTTTAATGAAAAGTGTCCTTTTTTGTGGCGGAGCTTTTCTGTGCCGAACTGTTTTCTCTGAACGAGCTGAGCTTCACGCGCCGTCTGTGTCGAGGTGATCAGAGAACCAGGAACAGCCTCGATTACCGAGCGTGACTGCAGTAAAAGTGAAGCGGCGACCAAAATCAACCGGAGTGTAAAACAGTGTACGAGGCCTAAGTTGTTCGAATTTTGCCGTTCCACCTTAAAGTCCACCTTAAGTCAGGTAATTATTCGCCAGCTTTACAAAGTCCAGCTTAAGTCAGCTTCCTATTCGCCAGATTCTTGTTCGAATTTTCCGTTCCACCTTAAATGGTGCAGCGGTCACAGGAGGCCCGAGGATGTAGCTGCTGCACCATTTAAGGTGGAACGCCAAAATCTGAACAAGAAGCTGGTGAATAGGAAGCTGACTTAAGGTGGACTTTCCCAAAGCTGGTGAAAAAGAAGTTGGCTTAAGGTGGACCGTCAAAATTTGAAAAAGAAGCTGAAGGTTAGGAAGCTCAATTAAGGTGGACTTCCTGGTGGACCATCAAAATTTGAAAAAGAAACTGAATTAAGGTGGACTTTATAAAGCTGGTGAATAATTAGCTGACATAAGGTGGGCTTTAAGGTGGACCATCAAAATCTGAAAAAGAAGCTGAATTAAGGTGGACTTCATGGTGGACCGTCAAAATTTGAATAAGAAGCTGAATTAAGGTGGGCTTTAAGGTGGACCATCAAAATTTAAAAAAAAACTGAATTAAGGTGGACTTTATAAAGCCGGTGAATAATTAGCTGACGTAAGGTGGGCTTTAAGGTGGACCGTCAAAATTTGAAAAAGAAGCTGTCGAATAGAAAGTTGACTTAAGGTGGACTTGATTGGTCTGAAATGATGAAATGTTCTTTAGTTATAGTTTGGATGAATGTCTAACAGCACCTCTATGATTTTTGCTTAAATATAAGATTAGTTATCATATCTTTTTTTTAATGTGACTAAATAACTGAATTTGTAATGATAAGTGATTAAAAACTCATTAGTAGGACTGGTAGGACCTTCTTTTAAACAAAAAAAAAATATTGAGTTAAAATCACATTTCTTTAAATAATAATGTTATCTGCAATTTAAATATAATATATGATATATAATTATTTCTGTGTACATGTGTATACATTCAGCCATACGCAGACGTTTGAACACCCCTGGTTATATTCCATGTTTTGTTGATTTTCCAAGTGAAAACACATCATCTGCAGAGAACACACTTAAACATGGCAAATTACTGCTAGTTTTACTGCACAGTTTCTATTTATTTGCTGAGTTTAACATCTTGGAATAAAATCAGGAAATAAATGGTAATTGTGCATTAAAATATCGCTGCTGTCGGAGGAAAACCTCCTATCTCCATTTCTGTCGTTTTTCAGTTTTTGACATAATTTGAAAATGCCTGTCGCTCTTTACATTGCATGTAAATTTCATGAAGGGACCAATAGAAACGGCCCAAAATTACTTGGAAAAAAATTTCTGGTTCCATTGACTTACATTGAAAGTAAAGTATGTTTTTTCTTCTCCTGTAAAGTTACCATTTTGGAGATACAAAGTTTTTTCCTGACAGCATTGATATGCAGAAGTGTGTTTACTGTGGAGGATGTGGTCACTTAGTTTCACGTAGAAAATCAACCACACGTGGAATGCCCAAACCTATTTTTTTTAATAAGGGTAAAGATTCAAGAAAATTCTTTTTCATCAGATGAGCTCAAAAACTCAGACTAAAGGAAATTTTCATTTTACATATGGACTTTAATGGGCTAATGGATAAACCACTGACCTGTCATTTTCTGTCCTTCTAGATTTGTCAGCTTCTCAGCAGTTGAATAATAACAGGACGGATGTAAACAGCACAGCAGCAGCGCATTTCACTGCTGAAGAGAAGCCAGTGACCATCACAGCTGTGGTCAATCATTCTCATTCATCAGAATTAATAACAAACACTGGACGCGTGACGACTGCTGGACCAGCGTCCACCAAAACCCATCCTCTAGTTCCTACGACAGGTATGAAGGAGTTTTCATTCACATTCATGCCACGTATGTAGGAAACGATCTGAAACCGTCTGGTCATATTAGTGACCAGAATCATCACAGTTTTCAAACAATGTCAATAAAAATGTATTGAAAATGTTTACGTCACTAAAACACACTGGGATCATTTCACTACAGGTAGCGTGTTGATAAACCTCTTTCTTTCTATCTTCCTTCCTTCCGTCCCTCCCTCACTTCTGTCCCTTCCTTCCTTTCTTTTCTTCCGTCCCTCCCTTCCTGTATTTCTTCCATCCCTCCCTTCCTTCCTTCCGTCCCTCTCTTCCTTCCATCCCTCCCTCCCTTCCTTCCTTTCTTCCGTCCCTCCCTTCATTCCTTTCTTCTGTCTCTTCCTTCCTTTCCGTCCCTTCCTTCCTTTATTTCTTCCTGCTGTCCCTCCCTTCCATCCATCCCTCCCGTCCTTCCTTCCGTTTCTTCTTTCTGTCCCTCCCTTTATTTCTTCCTTCATTCTTCCTTCCGTCCCTCCCTTCCTTCCATCCTTCCCATCCTTCCATCCCTCCCGTCCTTCCTTCCTTCCTTCCTTCCATCCCTCCCTCCTTCCCCTCCATCCCTCCTTCATTAAATAAATGATCCTTAGCACTACTGCTGTCTCCTGTTGAGATGTAAACTGTAGGAGATATTAGCTGTAGACTACTTGTACTGTGATGGTAATCATACATAATTATTGGAATTATTAAAGTGATCCAAGATGATTATCACTATTTTATTGTGATCATTAACAGCAGTTCCATCCCGACTACATGTATAGGTGTTTTCAAATAGCCCTGATTTATTTACACCTTTCAGTTTCAGGCCCTGTGCTGTTTGTTTGTTTGTTTGTTCATTCATTCATTCATTTATTCATTCATATATGCAGGTGTTTCACCGAGCAGCCCAGCCCACAACCCCACGGGCCACCACTTCCATGCGGGTAGTTTTGTGGGTGGTATGATATTGGCCCTTGTTTTAACACTGGCCATCTCTCTGGCCTACAGACTGGCCTGTTCTCACCGGACAGTGAGCTACAGAGCACTGTAAGTACTGTTAGTCCTGTTGGTTTGACAAAATGGGGAATTCCACTTTTCACAATTTCTGGATAATTCAGTCTTTGGGATTAAACAAAGTCATTCAGAGTGTTTTGTTGTGAATGGTTCACTGTAGAGAAACTTACAGACTCAGATTTCTTTACAGTGGTGCTGATAGGAACCAGGGGTCGCACTGTCTGCAACACAAATGTAGTCATTTTATTTACTATCCAAAACCACCAGTGAACCTACACGAGTCTTCTGAGTTTAATATGTAATGTTGATGATGGTAAAACAGTGATAAACCTGAAAAAAATTCTTCTTTGTGGACTATTTAGCCTCACAACACCCTGACTGTAAAAAAAATACATTTTAGAGTAAAACCTCTCGAAACGATCAGGCAAATCATTCATAATGATTTCAAGTAATAACTTTCTAAGAATGAGCTTTTAGAGGCATTAAACTCTACAGACGTCTGGTTCCTATCACCACCACTGTGAACAACTCTGACTTGGTAAGTTTCTCTAGAACCAGCATTTCACACCAAACCACTCTGAATGACTATGTTTACATCTTAACGATTAAATTCTACAGAAAATTGTGAAAAATCGGTGGAATTCCCCTTTAAAACGATCATCTCAAACAGACGTGCTTATGTAGTTTCTGACATTGCGACACATTTATAAACATGGACAAAGTAACAGAAAAAAAGCTGTTTAGCTGTGCAGCTGCAGATCTGTCAGTTTTTACATTATATTCATGATATTGTTTTCTCTTTCAGTGGAGAACATGATGCCATCATATAACAGTGGAACTGTTGGAGAGCTTGGCTGCTGTTTTGAAAGCGTGTTTATTGTGGGAAAGAACTCTGAGGTCGTATTGTTGTGCTACAGGATATGTTCCAGAGTCTGGTACTAATTAATAGCTTTTACAGAAAAGCTTTGTTTGGGTTCTTCTGGACTTTAGGCCTCATTGACCTTTCTGTATGTGATTGTGCAATAGCCGGGGGAATCACAGATCAGTGTGGTTTATTACTGATAGTGTGCTGTTTAGCTGTCTGGCCTGAAATGCTCCATTTCATTCAGTCTATTAAGAAACTGCAGCGCCCAACAAAACACAATGTTGAAGTGCCCCATTAACTACAAACGACATTTATTTTCACAGATACGGTGCCGTATTACAGAAACCTTAGGCTTAGTCACCATGACAACTTCACTTAGGACTGAATTTAGGACAGAAACTATTACAGAACAGCAGTTCTTAAGTTCATAATCTTATCCTAATTCAAGATAAGAAAACCGCATTACAGAAACATCCTAACTAGACAGAATCTCCTAAATTCTGCCTTAACTTTAAGATAAACCCCAGAAGTGTCTTAACTTCTGTTTTAACTGTCTGTTTCTGTTGTTTTATGCAGTGTCAGGCAGCACAGTTCACTATAACTGGCATAATGACGCTACATCTATGTACGCTGAAAACTGCTTTGACTTGTGAGGGTTTTGTGTTTTAAAACTCCAGACGCTGCAGACTCGATCTCCACCACCCCGACTTATTACCTTCATGTGTGAATGTTGAGAAAACTCGTCTGATAAGTAAGATATTACAGTGATGGTGGTGAATAATGAGGAGACCGAGCTGAACGTGTGTCTGTTTCACTAGGAGGAATAACGTTAGCGCGCTCGGCTAAAGCTTTTGGGAAATGAAACTGAAACTGCAAAGCGGCGATGCTCTGATAAACAGCACGAAGCGCTGACACAACGTTCTTAACTTTCTTTTTTGTGCTTCATTGTTAATGTTAATGTTAATGTTAGCAGTCTGGCAAACTAGCTTGATTACTTTGATTATGTGTTTACATTTCAGCTGTGCGCGTGTGGTCAGTTGCTAGGTAACAGACATGACAGTTGATTGTCGACTTCGATCGAGTAAGTTAAGATTTCCTCACTTGAGATAAGATTCTGTAAGATAAGATTCCGGAATTAAGATCAGATTTGCTTCTGTAATACAAATTTGTGAAAAATCTTATCTTGACCTGTCAGATCTTAAGTTAAGACAAAAAGATAAGACAAAGGAGGTGTCTTTATTACGGCCCCTGGTGTAGTTTTTTGTTGTATAATTGAACTAAGGTTAGCATGATGGCAAATTCATTGTTGTTTCTAATCAGCTACTTTAGCTACAACATTTGCGTCGCATTTTAAATTGGAAACTCAAATCTGGGGCCGTATTACAGAAACTTCCTATCTTTTTGTCTTAACTTCAGATCTGACAGGTCAAGATAAGATATTTCGAAAATTCGTATTACAGAAGCAAATCTGATCTTAATTTAAGAATCTTACAGCATCTTTTCTTACCTCAAGTCAGGAAATCTTAACTTAATCGATTGAAGTCGACAGTCAGCTGTCGCGTCTGTTACCTAGCAACTGACCATACCAACAGCTGAAACGTAAAAACACATAATCAAGTTAGTCAGCCAGACAGCTAATGTTAACGTTATCTACCATAACTGATGTACAAAAAGGGTCAAATAAAACTAAAGTGTGATAAACTGAAAGTTAAGAACGTTGTGTCAGCACTTCGTGCTGTTTATCAGAGTTGCCGCTCTCAGTTTCAGTCTCCATTTCCCAAACGCTTTAGCTGAGCGTTATTCCTCCTAATAAACAGACACACGTTCAGCTCGGTCTCTTCATTATTCATCACCATCACTGTAATATTTTATCAGACGAGTTTTTAATCAAACATTAACACACAAAGGTAAAAAGAGGGGACAGTGGAGATGGTGGCGTCTGAGTTTTAAAAATGCTGTTTAAAAAAAACCCTCATAAGTCAAAGCAGCGTTTTCAGTGTAGATAAATGTAGCGTCATTATGCTGGTTATAGTGAACTGGGCTGCCTGACACTGCATAAAACAATAGAAACAGACGGTTAAACGGAAGTTAAGACGCTCTGGGGTTTATCTTAAAGTTAATAACATATTTAGGATATTTTGGCAACTTAGGATGTTTCTTACTTGGAAATAAGATTATAGACTTAAGAACTGTTGTACTGTAATGGCTTCTGTCCTAAATTCAGTCTTAACTGAAGTTGCCATGACAACAAAACAGATATGATCTCACACTTAAGAATTTCCTGTTAATATGGCCCCGTGAACTCCAACCTAAATCCAGCTGTTAGGCTGAATGTTGAGATCTGTAGAGCTTGTTCAATTTGGCAACAAATGCTGTAAAATTATGCATTTGTGGGCGGAGCATGAATAGACCCATGCTGGTCAGCCCTTCAGTAAACCATTCCCGGGGTCTGTCTCAGGAAGCAGGAATTTTGGCTTAACCATCTGTATTTAAGGTTAGTTCGATCGGTAACGCTTTACTGTAAGATGCTGTTCATAAGACTACATGACACCTACATAAGCTTGTCATGACAACTGACATAACCCTATGTAACTGTTTATAATTGCTTATTCCAGCAGGCAGCATCTGTCATAAAGACTTCTTTAGCTAACTTTGATCAAAACTGGCTAATGTAACCTTTATAGCGAATTACGCCTTTTGGAATAAGCGTTTATAAACATTTATGTAGGGTTATGTCAATTGTCATGATAAGCTTATGTAGGTGTCGTGTAGCCTTATGAACAGAACCCTACAGTAAAGTCTTACCGTTTGATCTAACCCTGGATATTCTGTCAGGACGGTAGATCACTTTTTATTGGGCTACATCACCATGGAAACTTACACTGCACCACAGCCGGTTCAAGACTTACTATGACTGCAAAACGCTAGAGGGCGCCAGTGAGCGAGTCCTCAGTGAATATGTGTGAATGGAGTCTTCAAAAGTCTTTATAGGAACTAAATGGGTAAAAATCTAAAAAGGAAACGTATTTTTAACTATGTGTGCTGGACATTCTGTTAATTTTGGAAAGTAGAAACATGCAGTCCATTACAAAAAGAAAGAAAACAGAATTTTTGTTCATGGTAAATGGGTTTTGGGCCATAGGACACTAGCGTTACTGCTACTGAGTGCTGATTGGTCAGCATCACTGATTCTGAGTGCTGATTGATTAGCACCACTGATTCTGAGTGCTGATTGGTCAGCATCACTGATTCTGAGTGCTGATTGATTAGCACCACTGATTCTGAGTGCTGACTGGTCAGCATCACTGATTCTGAGTGCTGATTGATTAGCACCACTGATTCTGAGTGCTGACTGGTTAGCACTACTGATTCTGAGTGCTGATTGGTTGGCATTACTGATACTGAGTGCTGATTGGTTAGCACTACTGATTCTGAGTGCTGATTGGTTGGCATTACTGCTACTGAGTAGTGAAAGAACCCTGTTTAAGTTGAACTTGCTCCATGAGACAGACCCCAGGTTTCAGTTTCTTAGGGTTTTGAAATATTTTGATGCAAAAGTTTATGTGCAAAGTATAGATGGTACAGTATCAATAATCATATCAATACCAATATCGATACTGATGTTGAAACTGATGTTTCATTCAAAACTGCTAAGCTTTAAAATCAGCCGTTTTTAATTGAAACACTTGAGATTCTCATCTAAAAGTTGGGTATCTCGTTGAAACGACTCCATCGCTCCTCTACTCCTCAGGAAGAAGTCCAGGTTCAGGTAATCCAGGTCCAGACAGTAAAAACCCCAGGATTTTGTTCCAGTTGCCTGAAAACCTGCTTTTGGTTTAAACTAATTAGAGAAGCATAAGCGCTTTTTAAGGATAGATTCCTTACAGAATTGGATCACATTCATTCTTTTTGTCCTGATGTCTGATCCAGCCTTTTCTGCTGACTGTGGCCTGGAATACTTGATATCATATCAGTACCTTTTTTGATTCATTGCAATAATACAATGCAGAGTATAGTTTTGATATATATTTTTTTTAATAAAGTAAATATGCTTAATGCTTGCTTTGCACTATACTGGAAATCAATTCTTATAGTATCACAATTTACACAGAATATTAAAGTCTGATAAAATTAAGCTCGTAAAGATAAAAATGACTTGTAACTTGTTCCAGCAGTCCTCAAACTGGTCTCAGGGTCCCCATATGGTAATTTTTGCTCCAATCCAACTTAAAGATGAGGACAGAGGACCATCTGTGGGGCCCAGAACACTGCCGTATATGAGCAGATTTATCTCTAGCAGACACATTAAAGTGGAATTTCACCCAAGTTTTCAAGATTTCTGCAGAAGTAAATGGTTAAGGTGTAAATAGTCATTTGATGCTAAATGCGCCATCCTGGAGAAACTTACAGAGTGAGGATGGTTCACAGTGGAGGTGATAGGAACCAGACGTCTGAAGAGTTCAGCTACCTTACAGCTAGTGAAATATGCTATATGAAATGCTTATGAATACACTGCCTGGTGCCTGAGATGTTGTTTTTGAGATTGTTTTGAGATTAAGTTTTGGTGTAAAGCATATATTTTTTAAATAAATTCATGGTGGATAAGTTCTCGCAGGGTAGCGTAAGGCTAAACAGTCCCCAAACAAGGATTTACCACCAGCATCAGCTATATATATATATATATATGTTTGGATAGTAATTAAATGGCTGTATTTCTGTTGTCACCACCACTATAAAGGAATTAACCATCTCACATCAAACTACTCTGTTTTTTTTTTTGTCCTTGACATTCTGGGATGCTTTGCTCAGCTGCACAAATAAGCAACCAAGAACCAGTACAACAAAGTATATACTTTATTACAGGCCCATTTTAAAGTATTATGCAAAGAGATAGAATGTAACAGAACTTAAGGTTCTAAGATACATGCACATACATCTATTAAAAGATCATAATAAATGGATATAAATTCATTCTCTGTGCATTTAGACATATCTAAATACCAATCCTTTAACTTGAGTGATTAGTACTACCACTACAAAACAGTAAAGTTATTATATATTCTGAGAGTCGCACACTAACTACGCATAAAATCATGTTTAAGTGACATACACATTTTGCGCAATGTTCTTTTAAAACGTGCAATACCAGCACTGTACCAACAATTTATAAAATTACTCTTCGTTGCATTGCTTTCTCCAACACTGTTTTACCCCCCCGAGTGTCCTCCATCAATACTATACGTCTGCAAAAATAAAGTCTACTCTAAACATACTACTCCGGTGTTTTTCACAAGCTCTCAGTGGCGTAGTCAGCCAGTTTGATCACTAATTTAGTTGTTCACATGGACTGGGGAAGTGAAAAATGCAGCTGAAAGTGTATGTGTATAACACATTACCTACATAACACATTTAGAGTGTGGGGTCTTTGAGATAGCATAGCGTAGTGTAGGGATAAGAACCTTGTAAACATCTGAAAATACACGTCGTGTTACTGTATAAAGCATTTGCAACAACTTTTGTCACCGAAAAGTCCCTGTAGTGTTCTCTCGCTCTGCAATGTAAACGCTTGACAAATAGGTTGTTCTAGGTAACGTGTTCAACAAGTGTCTAGTACTGAACTTGCACGGGATGCTGTGACAAACTCTTTCATCAAACATCCGCTGACGGAGCGTCAGCTGGACCTTTTCTCATTAGCTTATGCCGTATGTGTACACTAAAAAGTTACGATAAATTATTTTTTGTTGCCTTTTTTTTTTTTTTTAAGAGAAAAAGAATTACAAAACACTCTTTGGAAGCCTTGTCAAAATAAAAAAAAGGAAAAAAAAAAATATCCTGACAGAAATCATAACTGATTGTTTCCATTACAGCATCTATCTCTATCATTCATAATCCATTTGACCACAATCAGGTACCAGCTAACCGCTACTCTACACCGCTAACCCTCGTGACGTGCTTATTTATCCAGCTGAAACATAGCAGAACCATCGCTTCATGCCCAAACTCTTCCTCTGTATCGGAGGCACTTTCGTCACACAGTATTGATCAAAATCTCCTTTTGTGTCTTGTTCCTTGCTTTTGGCTGAGAGTTAAAGATACTGTCACTACATATGCAAAAAAAAAATGATATCAATAATGATATAACAAAAATCTAGATATTGGTATACGAACACGTTTCAATCTAGGGAGATCACCTCCGCTGATTACTGTGTAATATAGCAATGATCAGCTCCATCTGCCATTATATATTATAATAGACATTAGAAATGTGCTGGAAGGCGACCATAATTAGAGCCAACAGAAATCAGTTATTATAGTGAGTTTGATCTATCAGGCAATGCCATAACCAAGCCAAAAAAAAAAGAAAAGGAGTGGAAAAAATAAAATCAGGCTTAAATAAGACTCATACAAAGAGGCTAGGGTTTATAAAAAAAAAAAAACAGAAAGAAAATCCTAATTCCCGACATTTATAACTTCTAAATCTTTTCTGATTAATGAAACGTAAATAGAAAAGAGTGCGGTCGATTGTTGTTCTAATATATAAAGTGTACTGCCTTATGAAGAAAAGACACAAACGTAGTGTTTTCATTTGCTCCACTAAGAGATAAAACTGAAGGCACTTGATTAGACAAGGTTTTTTCATAGTTAGATACGCTGGCACAGCCAAGCAGGGTGATTGCCTTGCCACAGCCACGGCTTCGTCTCGTAATCACGCACCCACACATGCCGCAACCAGCCCTCCTGCTCATTTTTTGGTTTGGTGGTAAATGAAGGAGGGAGGAAGCCGCAGGAGGAGAAGATGCTGTAGCTCGAGCTGTGGATGAGAACATGCAGTCACGGAGGAGCCGACGAAGGTTCAGCTCGCTCGGTATTGCCCTCGAAGCAACACTCCGGGAAACTACACGTGTCGACACGCATACAAACAAATGACAGGCATACAGCACAGCTATGAGAGCTATATATGGGTACTTCTGAAAAAGTGTCTGTTCATGGGCCAGCCTTGAGGATGCAGACATGATAAAAGAAGAAAGAAAGAAAAAGAGAAAAACATCTTTGCTTTTAAAACCAATTCGGCCAAGTATGGTGAATGTGGAAGGAAAAAAAAGCAATTAAAAGTCCAGTAGAGTAAAATGTCTTTAAAAAAAAACAAAACAAAACAAAACAAAAAAACCTCGAAGCTTCTACACATCATCCTTCACAGGTTGGACTAGGCAGCAGTCAGTTCGGTGTGAAGAAGGCGGTGGAGTGACGCTGGTTGCTGGCGCTCTATAGCCAGGTCAGAAAGCTCTCCTTGTCAATCTTGGTAGCTGCCAGCACTGACTCCATGTCGTTCAGGATGTCGGAGCTGAGGGCTTCCTGCAGACTGGGCATCAGCTCCTCGCCCTCCACAGCCATGCTCTCGCCCTCCAGGGTGCCCAGGTCCACGTCGGTGCCCGGGATGGCATCCAGGTAGTCGGGGAAACTTCTTGGTTGTGTCGCCATGGAAGCGGGACCGAGGGAGTCGCCTGAGGGTAAAAGACAATGAAAAATGGCTTTAAGAAATGATCACTTTTGTTATTCATAACCATAACAGGCCCATTAAAACAAAAATTTTTCCAGTGAGGTTATCCAACATGCCATTTTCTGCTAATTTTAGTCCACAATTAATATTATTTTTATTTAACATATTGAAAAAAAAATGTAACTAAAATATAAAATGTGCCACAACGTTCGCACAGGCCAGATTTTATGTTTTATTTTTTTCAAATATGTTAAATTCAGCAAATAAACAGTATTAAATTGTGCAGAAGTGTGTTCTCTTTCGAGGATGTGTTCACTTAGTTTTCACTTAGAAGATCATCATTAAACTTGAATGGGGCGCTCAAACCTTTGCTTATCATTACATAAAAACGAAGGTGCCAAAGAGATTCTTTGAAGATGAGGTGCTGTAGAAGAACATTTGTATGCAAGTTGTAGAGAACTCTTTAAAAGTGTGAATGGACTACAGAATATAAGTGATGATCTCTACCCGACATACAGAACTACCTCTACATGAGGCAGGGGCTCTATACCATACATTCGAACCAAGAAACATTTAGGAATCTTTATTTTTGAGAGCGCAGTTACTATGTAAATCAGTGGTCAGCACAGTGGTTTGTGCACCTGGACGTTTTGGTGCCCATGCCCTCGCAATCTGGTTAAGAATTAGTTTCATGAAAGTTTTATTAAAAACGACAAAAATTCAGTTAATATTTTAACTGATAATAACTCCCCTTTGCTTGTGGTGACCTCTAGGCTAAAGCAAGCGTTAGCTAGAAAGCAGTGGCTGAATTGGCCTACTAAGTTGTAATAGTCTTAACTGATAGTTGTTTGTGTTGATTCTCTCTGTATTGTTCAGACTGTTAACCATGTATGCTGTATGTTCAACGATTATGTCTGAAACAGCCAACATACAGTGGTGTTGGTCCACTACAAACGTACTAGATTACAGGCTCTTATAGACAATATCAATTGAGAAGAATGTGATAATCCAACATCGATGAATGATAATTGATGAGGCTGCACCCGATGTAAAAATGCTGTGCCAACCAATGATACGGAATCTTAGCTATGAAGATTTTTAAGCATCGTACTTGTCTCCATCTCGTCCACGCTGTTGAGGAAGTCGTCCGGAGTGCGGGGGACACTGTAACTGCTCATACTCAGGCCACTGTCTGTGCTCTCATCTCTGGAGTGATACGTCCCACTGAGACAAAAAGAGATAAACCATTAGTTACAGCTGCACTGAAGACTAAAATATACCAGAATCACATTTCAGGTACAATAACTTTGGCCAATGCTGTAAATCAGGGTGTCAAACTCAACTACTAAAAGGGCCATATTAAAAAATCTCAAATCTGTGGGCCAGTTGTTTTATTTCATTTTGTCCTTGAATACTTGTTCAAAAATAATTCTAAATAAAATTCACATATTTTTTTATTGAACCTATTTGCTTGAACTGGACACCAGATATCTTTTAGTGTTAAAAAGATTGTAAGATTTAGATTATTGTTGGGGGGAAGGGGGTCAGAACGCACGCTATGTTGCAGTGCATGCTGGGGACTGTAGTGCACCTCAGAATGAAACTGGCTAATAAGATTAATTAAAATTAATTCGGACAGTGTCACGGGCCTGACTTGGCCCTCAGGCCTTGTGTTCGACACATGGGCTGTAAATACACATATAAATCCAACTATTCAACTGGCAGTCAATTATCTTTGGTCCACTTTGAAAACATAGCCTAACGTGATCTTATTAATCAGACATTTGACACAGAAGATATTTAGCCTTGGATGGCTCTGACACTGAAAGTGCTGTAAACTGTGTAGTTTGGTGAGAACGACATCCATAAACAGAGCTTTTCCCAGCCGAGTGAACTGTGCGCAGGGATACAGTGAGAAGGGAAGTACAGCAGGCTTATACGAATGAAGAGAGTGGGAGAGATGCAGTGTATGAGTGTGGCACGATGAATAGGGTCTTTGTAAATGCCTGAGTGGGAGGAGGGGGGGGGGACTGGTCTGTCTAAGGCTGAAACCACATGTTCTCACGGGCTGCTCTGCCTGTTCACAACCCCCCACTCACTCACTCACTCACTCAGGACGAAAGGCCAGGCAGTTTTCCCCTTAATGGCCACTAGATGGCGCACATGACAAAATGCTGCCTAAATGGGCTGCACAGTGTTGTTTGGTAATCTGTCTGGGAACACTGGCTTTTGGGATTATAATATGCCGATGAGCCCCTGAATAAATCATAAACGTTGTCATGTGCGCTGTGAGCATCCCGACCTGCTCCAGCTGAGTTTCTGTGGTTGTTTTGGTGAATCGTGAGATTCACATGTTCCAACAATATTTAAATAAATCTGGTCAAACTAATGAATGTTGATCCTTTATGTCTTTACCCTATTACAGTTATACATCACAGTATAATCGCAATATACTTTTTTGATACTGTGCAGCCCTCCTGCTTAGTCAAACAGGGGCCTACTTTTGTCAGCAGCACTAGCCTGTGAGATGAAATTTGACGTCTGTCCACCAGGGGTCAGCAAGGAGTCTGTTCAGAGTCAGCAGAATTTTTCAGACACTCTGAAATGATCATACTATGAAAGTATAGTTCAGTTCCTTGGGAGCCTGTTCAACCATGAATTACTGCCATGTGTTAGAATTAAACCAGTCTCGTGTGTCCCTTTTCGTAAGCCTCACAAACAGACGCTAAATCTCAAACGGCTCCTTATACCCTACGTAGAGGCGACAAAAGGCCCAAATACCAAATTATACACATGGCTGTGATTATTCTATTAGTAATCGCGCAGTGTGATGATAATTTTGTTGAATAAGTAAAAAATCATTTAGACTGCCAACTAGTTAAAGCTGACTCAATGATTAACAGAGTTTAATCAAGTAATCTGTCCAGTCACCTGTTGAGGAAGGGGTCAGAGCTGTTGGTGGTCATGCTGCGGGCGTCCTGCCCCATGCCTGGAGATGACACTGGGTTCTGAGTGCCTCCATCCTGCTCCATGCTCGTGGGCAGCTGGTTCCTCAAGGCCAGCTCCTACACACACAAACACACCAAGGTCACTACGATGAGGCTGGATTCATTCACAGAACTCAGAGACGACTCTTGGTGAACACTGCAACAAGTAGAAAAGTGTATATATGTTTAATCTCAAAGTGAATTTTCTGGTTAAACAAAGCTTAAAACGAAATGAAACTGCAGCCTTTCTTTAGTTCACAAACTGCAAATAGAAGCAATGTGTCCCTTCACGTCGCCAGCTTTGTGCTCAGAGCTCTGTCGTATTTAGGCCGTCGGCAAATCCCTGTGAAGTCACTGGCAGGGCTGGCGGTTTGTGTTTCTGATTTTCAGGCACTTATTCGTCATCCTGAGCTGCACGTTCTGTACTTAAAACTACGCTGCGCTCTTTCAAAGACAAAGGACGAAACAGGACTTTCTGTTTTGTCGGAGAACAAACAATACTGGTTTTACCGTAGCAGATATAAAGACACAGAAGAGCATGAGAAAACAAGCAGTTCTTCTTCAGCCGTTTCCTCTACCGTGTTGAGTGATATTATGATGCCCATCCCCAGGCAACGTGTCACAAGCTACAGATCTGGTTCTCATTTGTCGAAAGATTGTGAAAGTCATTCTCTGTAAATATCCTCTGTGATTTTATGGCCTCGGCCCAACTGGGTGGTTAACTGCATGCTGCTAAGCTCTGGTTAAGGTGTGGGTTTATTGCATGTCATTAAAGGGCAGGGTAGGGCACGGGGTCGGAGGCTTCTAATTACACACTTCCTATGAGTAAAAAACACACACAGTCCTTGCTACCAAATGGACAACGCAATAAATTTCAACTACAGGGCTTTGGGAGAGTTTCCCCCCAGAGTGAGTCATTTTACAAACAATCTGCTTTTGCTGTAACGTCACTGGGTGATTCATTCATCAAAGCACTGACATCCGTGCTGCAACCTGCACTGATGGTATTAGCGCCTGTGCCTGACTGGCCTAACTTCATTAGTGTGGTAAGTGGTCTACTTCCAGCTGAAGACTGTAAGATCATCCTCCAAAGAGCTTTGTTTGTTTAGTTTTGGTGGCAGGGGGCTTCGCACAGCCGAGTCAACGCACTGTTTACATTCCAAAGCAGAGGAGTGCCCCCTCCTTCCCCCCGGCTCCGAGCCCCCTCTGTCCCGTCTGCTTCACCACCCCCATAAACTCTTCTCTTCTTCCGATTCCTGACCTCTTTCGACCACCCTCAACACTCACTCACTCTCTCTTTCTCACATGCACACAAGACTGTGTAACAATGAAAGTTTGTGTTTGTTTCCGTACATTTTCTTAACAGAAGCGTCGCAACTTTTTTTAAAACGGGCAAATTATTTGGTTACTGAAGTTAAGATTAGGGTTAAATTAGAATTAAGCTCAGAAAATTCTAATTTACATTATACGCTGATCAGGCATAACATTATGACCACCTCCTTGTTTCTGTGCTCATTGTCCATTTTATCAGCTCCACTTACTATATAGGTGCACTTTGTAGTTCTACAGTTACAGACTGTAGTCCATCTGTTTCTCTGCATACTTTGTTAGCCCCCTTTTACCCTGTTCTTCAGTGGTCAGGACCCCCATGGACCCTCACAGAGCAGGTACTGTTTGGGTGGTGGATCATTCTCAGCACTGCAGTAACACTGACGTGGTGGTGGTGTGTTAGTGTGTGTTGCGCTGGTCTGAGTGGATCAGACACAGCAGTGCTGCTGGAGTTTTTGAACACCTCAGTGTCACTGCTGGACTGAGAATAGTCCACCAACCAAAAATATCCAGCCAACAGCGTCCTGTGGGCAGCGTCCTGTGACCACTGATGAAGGACTAGAGGATGACCAACACAAACTGTGCAGCAGCAGAAGAGCTATCGTCTCTGACTTTACACCTACAAGGTGGACTTGACAAGGTAATAGAGTGGACAGTGAGTGGACACAGTGTTTAAAAACTCCAGCAGCACTGATTTAGACGTCCTGTTTAGCAGCCAGTGCACATCGCAGCAAACATACTCACACGGCTGCATCGTTTTGGCCAAAAAGGCGTGGTTTGCTTTGAAACGTCATGTCGTATACACTACGTAGATGCATATAAATGAGACTGATGTTCTGTGAAGTGCGTGTGTCGGACCTGGGGTCTCCTGAGCAGCTCCTGGTGTTTGAGCCTCTGTCTCTCCTTCTCCATCTGCAGCTGCTGCAGTCTCATCTGACTGTTGCCCCCCATCACCCCTGTGTTCTGGGGGCTGGAGGGCAGCGGGGGTCCTTGTTTCACTGGAGCACTCTGGGAAATGCGCTGCTGGTTCAGAGCTGCAGAGACAAACGCAAGTTTTGGTTACTTGTATCACTACAACATAGACATGCATACATCCAAGTACAGTGGTTCCTTTTTGATGATAAATCAATTTTTAATGCTAAACAATGAACATTGACCTAACTGGACAATAATAAACCACACATAGCATTTCAAAGATTCATAAAAACGCCAGAAAAAAAGATAAACCAGGAAGAACTGGGCTGTTTCTGTCAGGCTCTGATTCTTAGAAATGCATTTGAAATAGGCGCTCAGCACAAAAATTTACAATCATTGGCAATTTACTGAGAAGGTAACTGTGAATCTATTTTAACTCACAGAGTAAAAAAGCCCTACAGCCCTACATGCAACTTCAATCTAGCAAATCTATACCTGCACATATAGACTGACATCTTGTATATCTTCAATCCATATCTTGTATAATCTGGAATACATATCAATATTCTATACTCAGTGTACACTGCATCTTATTTATCTTCCTCAGACTCACAGACTGCATATATGTAAATGTGTACAACTGTGCCTATCACAGCTTTTACATATCATAACTGATACTACTGTTATAAAACTGTACATTGTAATGGTAATGGTTGCCACTTTGATTATACATTTATACATATTCTATATTGCACTTTGTTTATTATCTATATTGCACTTTGTTTATTATCTATACTGCACTTTGTTTATTTGTCCACAAATATTGAACATTGCACTGTCATTTTGTTTATGTATCTATAAATGTCATATTGCACCACTGTTAACACTGGTTATTGTTTACAGTACATAGTCAGTCACTTGTTCGTTCACTGGAGGGGACGTGCACCACTGCAATGTCAACTGCATAGTATTTATGCAATTTACTTCTTATTCTTGTACTGCACATTATTTTTATTGTTGTATTTAGTATATTTTTATTTTATTTTATTCTATTACTTATCTTTACTTTCTATTTATGCATCTGTAAATACTATCTATCTATCTATCTATCTATCTATTAATACTGGTGTATATGAACGTGTATATTTAGAGTCTACTTTATATATGTTTTTTTTGTATATTTCTGTATTTTGTTAATATGTTTTTTTATTTAAGAACTACAAGGGGGCTAACATTTTCACTCACCTTCGCACCTGTGTAAATGTGATGTGACAATAAACGTGACTTGATTTGATTTGACAAGTAAAGATGATCATATGTGCCGACACATTTACACTTTCAGACTCCTACTGATTTAAAGGCCTGTAATACAGGCCTGAGTATCTGATTCTACCCACACCAAACATGACTCTTTGGTAAATACGGCTGCAGCAGAATATCTGCTATCCATGGCATAATGACCTACTGATCGTTACTCTTACAGAAACTGCCGCTCTACTGCACTACGCACATTCACAGACCAAAGCCAAGGCACATGTCCGAATAACAAAAGGTCTCGATGCTTATTGCGAGCGTCTGGAGTCAAAGTGGCTGCGGTATCAGGCGCACGCAGGTGGTGCTAAACAATGCTTTTAACTTCTCCAAAAGTGGGACGTAAACACTGGTAAACATTTCCATACGAGTGAATGAGGTCATGCATATTGCTGATCGGCCAAACAACTGAAAGAAACAAATGGGCTGAATACGGGAGGTGTTACTGTAATCAAACCGGTGACGATCCTTGTGTGCTTATGCGCTGGAGCCACCAATGAAAACAAAGCAGTGACGGTGCTGGCGTTGTCATGCGCCCCCCACCGCCGCCCGTCCTCATCACCATTCAATCACTGTATGTTTACACTTGCTCAGGCCTGAATGAGTCTCCGTCCTCCGCTCTCCATGGGAATCAGATCAGAGCACAGTAACAGCCCTCCCCCTTCTTACCAGAGGCTCTGTATTAGTGTGTGTGGGAATTACGTGAGTGCTAGAAGCAGAGTGTGTGTGTGTTTACAGGGGTGATAGTGTGTGTGTGTGTGCGCGTGTGTGTGTGTGTGTCTCCTTTCATACCCTTATCTTGCAGAGATATGGGTCTACTGAAGCAGAACTCTGACGCTGGCAGTACTGCGTTCGCTATTCCCACAGCAAGAGTGAACACAGCTAATGAGCTGTTACATTCAAACCTGTTCAGTCTCGCCCTCATTACCACAAAAAGGGCATATTCAAAACTCAACTAACCCGCTTTTTAAAGTAAAAAACACAAACATCAACACCAAAAAAGTACCCTAGTTACGTCTAGATGCCCCCGATAAGTCTAACTCAGGTCTCCCCAAAGTGGGGAGGTTAAACTTGGGACGTTTGATTTTGCACGCCAGAAAATTGACCTAACCCAGGGGTCGGAACCCAAATGTTAAGATGAGTCGTTTTGTCAAGTTTCAACAAAAAACTAACCACCTTGGGAGCCACAACATTTCATGTCCATTTTACTCAAGTAACGTTTCACCATCCTGGCTGTAAATATGTCTCAGTATGTGCTGATGTACTAGTATAAACTAAAAATATAATATAAACAAAAATGCAGACTTACTTTGCTCTGCTTTAAGCTTTAGCTCAGCTATAGTCGCTTTTCTCGCATCTCCAGCAGGAAACTTTTTTGCAAAAGTAGAACAGTGTCGTAAAATGTCTCTTAACGTTAACTTTACAGGAGAAGGAAAAACATACTCTATCATACTATTCTGCTGTGGAGCTGCACCAGGGAAATAAAAGAGCCGGATGCGGCTCCCGAGCCACGTGTTGCAGACCCCTGACCTAACCCCATACACTCGACCAGCAGAGATAAGCGTATCTGTCTGCTATATATATCCTATTAAGTTATTATTTTCCTTTAACCCCATCGAATAAGGCGGCTCACCAACATGGTAATTCCCTCTTAAACGTGTGCTGCCAGATGTGTCGGCCAAGAAACAGAGCTTTCTGTGCGCTCTGTGTTTTCTATCACTGTATAAAACATGCATGGGGCTTTCTTTATTATTGGTTGCCCTGTGATTTGATGCGTCATATTCCTATTCACGTTTGATTTTTCAAAAATTACAATTTCTCAGCTTTGTGAGATCATGTTCTTCTTGAACACAGGTAACAATACTGAGAAACTGCAACATCAACAGAAAAAACAAACCAGCAGACGTAGCCACTTTTTGCACTGGCCATAAAGGGTTAAAATGTTGTGTGGGTTAAAATTGTGTTTATAGTGTAATGTTATCAGCTCGATTTGAAACCTACCTACCTTCTTTCTTTGTGTATAGTTATGTCCTTCCGCCAAAAACAAATAAAGCTCTTTGGCACCTCAAGACAAAATGTTTGGGCACCCCTGATCTAACTGGACACAGCTTTTAAAAGAAACTCAAAAAGAGCCAAGATTCAGAGAATATACAAAGCGAAACCAGTCGTGGGGGGGGGGGTTCTAGGCAGCTTTGGGTAGGATTTAGACTGACACGATACAAACAGAGTGAGGCAGAGCAAAAGAACAGGAAAAAGAGAGAGAGAGAGAGAGAGAGAGAGAGAGAGAGAGACAGATAGATAAGGTAAGGGCTAATGCTATCTGCCCTTTGTCTTTTTCACACTTGTGTGAAACATGATGAAGCAGCCACAGCAGCTCTTATCAGGCCGCCACCCTGCGGGCAGGTTAGCCAACACCACCAAGATTGCCTGCACAGGCGGGTAAGACTGCGACTAGGAAAGAAACTTCCGGAAAGGCTCTGAAGGAGTGCGGCCAGGTACGGCCTCTTTGAAGCCTCTGTAAATATTTGCTTGCTGTCTATTTAACACGTTTGTTCTTTTTAAAGCATCTGGTCAGATAACCTGCGATGCCAGAATAGAAACAGAGAGAGAGAGAGACAGAGAGAGACACAGAAAGGCCTTTCTATCATACCATGTACAATGTTACAAAATATATATCAATATTCTTCAGGGTTCGTGAGAAAAGCTGTGAACTGAATGTAATTTGATTAAATGCTATAAAAATGTCCGTGATAGCAGACATACTGACATAAATCGGAATATGTTTCGCAATGAAATGAAGAACAAAAAAAACTGGACTCTCTCTACAAAAAGCACAATGAAAGTCAGCATATCTTTTTCACTTCTACATTAATAAATGCTTCATATCCTGGCACAAAAACATGATACGTACTGTATTGTGACATTTATGTATCATCACACCTCTATATCACACCCAGCTGTTTCAGACAAGCTTCAGGCTTCAGATAGGCCTGAAGGTGGTTGAAAACAAGATGGCTACAATTATATATATATATATATATATATATATATATATATATATATATTCCATGTAAACATTAAGCTAGTGCAGTCCTGAAAGATTTGGAGTTCGCAACAAATTTAGTTCAGTGTTTTGGGATTTTAGTGTGAATAAACGCACATAGGCACAAATATTAAATGCTCACATAACACCGCTCTTACAACAAAACTCTGTATGTCCAAAATGACGAGCAGTTATTTCTAGGGATGTACCATTTATAACGTTTATAACGTTTATTACAAAGGCAGTAAAACTGATAAAGAACTGAAACATTAGCACTGTAGTTCAGCGTCACCTAAACATTCTGCTCTTCAGGAGTAATTAGGGTTGGAAATATCGGTCCAATCAAAATCTGTCCAATGCTGATCTGCCAATACTAATTTGACTCCAACATTACTGTGCATCCCTATTTATTTACAAAGTAATTTTCAGATTATTCTTTCGGTCCATTTTGTAATAAAACATTCCGATGTAAAGAGCCATTTCTGAGTAAATGAAAAGCAGCTGAAGGAAGCTACGAGATTTTAACGTGGCAGCAACATGTTTATCTCCCTCTTTCCCAATAAGGTTAGTGCTGAGCTCTGTGTGTGTCTGTGAGCCGGGCTGAGCTCACAGCAGAGCACTGGAAAAGATGAGAGCTCCATAAGAGAGTGACATCATCCGGCACCAGCCAACAAGGTGCCAACTCCTGCGCTGAAGTGTGCCGATAGCCAAGGCGGAAAAAACACAGCACAGCGCCTGACCAATAACACAAGGGGATGGTGGGCTGTGTCAGCGGAGCAGGGGTGGCTGGACTGTTCACGTTAAGTGTGTTCATGTTCTATTGTGGTAGAGCTGCACAATATGGATTAAATTTCATACTGCAATTATATTTATACATATTATGACTAAACATAACTTCTAATATAACAATAATAAAACATGGGCTGCACAAGGCTGTGTGATTGTACAGGTACAGTGACTTTATCACAGTTAATGGATGTTGTTAGGCAAAGTAGAGTTATGGTTGTCAAGGAACATAATACTAAAGGACTGTACATGTATATCTGGCGCATTTACCAGTTTTTTCCACCAATTTTTCCAAATGTCTGTATAATTCAATCATGTAGATGTAAACAAAGTCAGTCAGCGTGGTTTCATCTGACATAGTGTGTTGTAGAGACACTTGACTCTGATTTCTTTACATTGATAGTGACAGGAACCAGAAGTCATGCAAGCAACACAAATACTGCCTTTTTATTTACTATCCAGAATGACAAGCGAACCTACACGTCTCCTGAGTTTTATATACATTGTTGATGATAAAACAGTGGTAAATCTGCAAAAAATATGTTTTCTTAGGGGACTATTTTCCCCTTTAACACCCTGCATGTACTTGTCCACCATAAATGGCTTTTGAAAACTATGTTTTAGGTTCAAAACTATCACAAAACAATGTTCAGGCATCAGACAGTGTATTCACAACCACTTCATGTGATACGTTTCTGTCAGGGAGCTTTAAGCATGAAACATTTCTGGTTCCTATCGCTGTGAACAAATCTGACTCAGTACGTTTCTCTAGAATAGTGAATTTCACATCAAACCACTCTGAATGACTTTGTTTACATCCTAAGGATTGAATCATGAACACATTTTGAAAAATGAGTGCAATATATTATGGATTCTTTAACAGAGAATCTAGCTGAGTCCTATCGTGTGTGTTCATACTGACCATGTTTCAGATTTGCCTGCATTATTTTAATTATCAAAATTATCCAATTTATCAGCTGGAGCGTCTCAAGTTGGTGAGAATGCTCACGGTACACAGTTTGCAGCTTTTATCCGTGCCACCTCTCCATTTGTGCTCCCTTGCAGACAGTTTGTGAAAAACAACATGAAGGCTCGGTCTGGAACACTAGGCCCCGCCTACTTTCTGAAGTCTCCGCCCTCTCACCAACTCTCAGGAGCTTTCGGCTTGTCGGCCTTCTCCCTTTTTCTTCTGTTCCTCCCTTTCTTTCTTTATTTTTTTTCCTCTCTCTACCCTTCCCCCTCACTACGGCCCTACCTCAGCTAGCAGCCCCCCCCCCGCCTCGGGTTCTCTCTGACTGAAAAGGTCTGGAACAGATTAGGTGCAGGGCTGCAGTATAAAGAGGTCTGGCTCTGGCTCAAGTCTGTCTGGATGTGCAGCAGAAAAGCGTTCTGCCTGCTCTGGGCCTCATGGAGGGAGGGAGGGAGGGCGAGGGAGGGCAAGAGAGAGCGAGAGAGAGAGAGGAAAAAGACAGAAAGAGAAAGAGGGGGAGGAGAATACAGTTGCATTTCTACCCCACTTCAAATTAGCTTTTCATTTATCACTAGTTAGAGACTCGGACTGCATGAGAGTTTAGTCTGTTATACAGTTCATATGTTGTTTAAGTGCCAGTGGGGAAAACAGCAGTGGCTCCAATCGACACTATATCTTTAATAATGAATATGGAATTACTATTCCGACTTTTCAGTTTTCCTCCCGGACTGAATTAAGTGGAAAAGTTGCTCTAAGCTGACCAGAAAGTCAACAACACTCAGCAACACTCAGCAAAAAGGCACTCCTTCATTTGAGAAAATGACATGATAGAAGTTCCCAACACAAGCAAGTGTTACGTAAAACCACAAGGGAACGCCCGGACAGTTAGAGTCTGCGGTAAAGAAGGAGTTAACGAGTCAACCCACACCCCCTCAACCCCCACCCCCCACTCCATACCACTCTTTCTCTCTCTGTTCTCCTCTACACTCTCTCCCTCTCCTACTCTTTCCTCATGTCTCCCTCTTTTCTCCCTCTCCTCCACATTTTCATTCTTTCCTCTCCTCGACTCCTTCCTTGGGTCTCTCTCCCTTTTCTCCCTCTTCTCTCCTCTACTCTTTCCTTTTCTCTTTCACTCTCTCCTACTCTTTTATTTTCTCTCTCTCTCTCCTTCTCTCACCATTCTTTTTCTTCCCCCTCTGACACTCTTGCTCTTTTCTCACTTCTCCATGCTTTCTCTCTCCTGTCCCAATCCATCCTTTTCTTTCTCTCTCACTCTTCTTCTTTTTCTCCTACTCTCCCCTTCTCCTTCTCCTCCCATCTTCTCCCACTCTCTCCCCTCTCCTTTCTCTCTTCCCTGCTCTTTCGTTCTTCCTCTCATCCACTTTCTCTCTCTGCTCTCCCCAACCTCTCTTAACCTCTCTTTTACTCTTTTATTTTCTCTCTTTTTCTTCCTCCTCAGACACTTTTGCTCTTTTCTACTGTTTTTCTTTCTTCTCTCCCCGACGCTTTCTCTCTCCTCTCCCCAATCGATCCATTTCTTTTTCTCTCACTCATCTCTCTCTCCTACTCTCCCCTTCTCTGTTCTCCCACTGTTTTTTCTCCTTCACTCTTTCTTTCTCTCTCTCCCCTACTCTTTCTTGCTTGCTCTCATCCACCCATCTCTTTCTGTTCTGCCCAATCTCTCTCTTAACCTCTCTCTTTCTTTCCCCATTCTGTTCTTCTTCCCCCTTGACACTCTCTTTTCTCATTTCTCCCCCATGCTTTCCTCTCCCCAATCTGTCCTTTTCCTTCTCATCCTTTTCTTATCTACTCTTCTTCTCTCTTTCCTACTCTTCCTCACTTCCTCACTCCTTCTCTGTTCTCCCACTCTCTCCTCTCTCCTACACTTTCTCTCTCCCTCTACTCTTTCGTTTTTCTGCCTTTCTGCTCTCCCAAATCTCTCTCTTTCTACTCTCTCTTTCTTTCTTCTTCCCTACTCTCTCTCTCTCTTCTCCCCCTCACATTACGTCTGGGGCCCACCAGGCTTGGACGTTCGAGACTTATAAATCTTCAAAGAGCTGAAGGCTTTCGAGCCGTGTTGCTGCCTTTCCGAGGACGCAGCCCGGCACACATCGTTTTCCACTTTTCCCCCAGACCACCTCAGAGTGCATGAACCACCATGGAAAACGCTCTGTGACTGAACCACTACGGCTGCCACTACTGATCATATCAGTTAGCAAGTAATCTACTGGTTATACTGACGATGAATCATCATCATGTTTTATGGTCAAGCTATGAAAATGGACTTAAATGGACAAAAAAATTAAGACTTTCATATAAGTATGTATATATATGACAGCTCAATTGAGCACTGAGGACTTTCAAATGGAAACGAGCCAAGTGAGTGCCTGTTCCTACATGTAGAGAGAGAAAGAGAAAGAAAGAGAGAGAGAGAGAGAAAGAAAGAGAGAGAGAGACAGAGAGAAGGGATGAAGGGAGGGCACTTCAAGCATGAGTAACTCAAAGTGACATAAGCAGAAGCCTTCATCTCCTTTGTGAGTCTTACTGACAGAGGGGATTAGAACAGGGGGCAAGAAAAAAGGGACAGCTCTCAGTAAGACCACCAATGCTTGTTGTCATGCCAATAGTTTACAGCTCAAAACTCTCCTTCGGTTTAAGTAGCCTATTAGTTTGACTGTTGTGACTGGAAAAAATCAAGTTTGTATCTGCAGGGTGCAGAAACAGCAGAGTGAACAGTGTGTGTGTACGGTGATGTGTGTGTGTCAAAGTGTGTGTATGTGTGTACAGAGAGAACACATAGCTGAGTCCTGAGTTAGCATTGAGTTTGGCTAACCTCAATGTGAGTCACGGGAAGTGGGAATAATTTCAGAGGACTGTCTCTCGCCCTCTCTCTCTCTCTCTACACACACTTACTATTGCCAGCTAGACACAATCCCACTGAGTCTCCAACCTTTTAAACGCCATCCACAAAAACTAAACACAACAACGGCACTCTCAGCTGGTTGGTAATAGCCTTATTCATTCCTCTGAAGAGGAGAGTAACTTTACTAAGTGTAACACTGTACATATACAGTACTGTGCAAAACTGAATGTCCAGTCAAAACAACATTACAAGTTACTCATTTTATCAGGAGATATTTCTGATGAAAAAAAATGATTAAGGATTCCTAAAAACTGTGTAAAACCTAGAAGACACCCAAAATGGTCCCCATCAGATAAACAGCACTTAAAGCTTTCATCTTTGAGAGAGAGGAGAAAATCAAGCTGCTTCAGATCTGAAAACATCCACAAGACAGCTCAGCGCTGTGGGTCTGAAAGGATGTGTAGCTGTCAAGAAGCCTCACTGAGAAAAGGAGACGGACACATCAAACAAAGAAACTGAACAATGGACTGACCACCCCAGAGTCCAGACCTCAACATCACTGAATGTGCTTAAAATTCCTTCAGTTGTGAGAAACAAACTGAACTTTAGAGGTGTGGAATAACATTCCTGCAGATTTCTTAGAAAGACCTGCTTACCTGCTTTACCTGTTTCTAAAACTACAAATAAATAAATAAACAAACCAAAAAAGAAAGATAGAAAGAAAGAAAACATTTTGAAAATAGGTGGTCCTTCTCTCACCGTAGCGTGGGTCCAGTCTCGGGTCCAGCCAGGACGTGGTTTTGTTCTTGTGGTTGATGTAGTAGATCTCTCCCTCTGAAGTAATGGCCTGTTCCCAACCATCAGGAAGAGGACCTAAGAGAAGACTAAGGTTATAGCATGACCTCTGACATCCACATAATACAGACCTTGGTCATTTTACAGGATTTCCCCGTCCTGCTCCTTTAGCTCCCCTAAACTTGCACGTTTTAGCATTTTCCCAGTTCATTATACGTGCAGGTAATCAAATCCCCAGCACCACAAATATGCCAGTTTGTCCAGACATCCATTCTTTACCGCTATAACTTAATCATGACTCACTCATTCTGCACTGTTTCGCACGTCGTTGCCAAATAATAAGCCTTCGGATGTTACTGTCAACAAGCTGTTCATTCACCACAAAGAATGATAAGTTGACAAGTGAAATCTTAAATCTGGGCTATGTAACTGATGTTTTTCATGATTACAAGATTGTTATGAAAGACTACCTGCCAGTACAACCAGACAATTTCAGTTAAAATATGTTTAAAAAGCTACAGATATTCTTTTTATTGTATATGTCAATAATATAACAATATATAACAATATAACTATGCAATATTTCTGATAAATTGCTTATATTGAAGATGTTTGACTTGTCAAGGTATCTATTTTTGCAGTGTAAGACTAAAATGGGAGTATGTGGAGTGCCAGAAAACCACAGAAAAATAATATATGAAGAGACATTAGCGCTACTGAATGTGCCTACAGAGCAGGTAAATTACAAGCCATGAGCCTCTCTAAAGTATTCATTGAACTGCGAACACTTCTAAAAGAATGGGTGGAGACTATACGGCCCATGGTCTTCTCAGAAACAGGGCGGGGATGTGTGGGACAGGACTAGTCATGTTTTACGTCTCCTCACACTCCTCCAGGTTACTCCCTCTCCACAGCTCTCAGATAAGCATCACCTGTGCTCGAGGACTGCTGCAGAGACACTCCCACCCTGCACTTCAGTTTCCATTCATATGCAGCCAAATGTTTAGGGGTTTGATTAAAATTGTGTTTGGCTGTGCTGATCCATAATGAATACTAGTATCAATGCCACATCACAATATTGATTTTATTGTTAACAGGACAGTGTAATAATACTGAGTAACAGTAACGCCACTGAATAGGGTTCCCTTTGATGTAATTTACAAATGTGGTGTAATTTACATTTAAAAAGATGGGATTTGTGAGTGTCTAGAACCATGGTTCTTTGTGAGATTCTAAAGAGCCAGAGAATGAAAGTTGGTCTTGCATTTGAAAATAAGAAAACTGAAGTTTTTTTTCCTGTTTGTATTTGTAAAACAGTTAGTAAGTGTGTTTTTATAACCTCGCATCTCTAAAATGGTAACTTTACAGGAGAAGGAAAAAACATACTTTACTTTTAATGTAAGTCAATGGAACCAGACTTTTTTCCAAGTCATTTTGAGCCATTTCTTTTGGTCCAATGATCATGAAATTTACACTCAACATAAAGAGCAACAGGCATTTTCAGATTAGGTCAAAAACTAAAAAACGACAAAAATGGAGATACAAGATTTTGATCCAACAGCAGCGAGATATATATATATATATATATATATATACACACACACTAAATTGTAGCAGTGCTGGGCTGAAGCATAGCTGGGTGGGATTTTTGGGTCAATCAGCATGAGAATGGCATGTATACATGAGAATGAGTTGTCTGCTGACCTGTGGCTGGGTTTAGCAGGTTTTGTTGCTGAACAGGCACAGGGCTGCCTGGGGGCGCTGAGTTCATCTGCAGCATGGCCTTCCTAGGATCCTGCCAGGTGGTCGTCTGCTCAATGTGGCTGTAGAGAGAGGGAGATAGAGGTAGACATAAGCGAGAGCAACATGCATTCAAACATCAGTATGATAGTCGCATTTAAATATGACCCATATAAATTCATTTGTGAGAAGATATCCAGATGTTTGCAAGTGCAAAGCAAGAAGCCGTAAGTGCTCATCAGCTCACTCCAGAATGAGAACAGATATACAGGCATTTTACAGGAGTCTTAAGCATTGGACAATGTGGCGTTAACCCAATGAAACCAAAATGGAACTTCAAATATCAATAAAATAATAATAACACATTAAATGTAAACACAGAGCCCATATTCCACTACTTAACTCTGAACAGCTTTAAAGCTGTGAAAAATAAATTTTGAACAATTTTACCCTCACCTTAAATCAGCCACTAAAGACAAAACTCAGCTTGCAACTTGGCTGCTACAACTGTTTTAGCTAAGCAAGGTACTTGTGTCCATTTTAGGTCATACTGGATCAGAAACCAAGCAAGTCTTTTTGAAATTACTTAACAGCTCAATGCTGCTTGAAGCAAGTAAGTGATAATTTACACATGCCGACTGCACAATACTAACTGGCAAGTGTAAGCCATTACTTGTTAGCTATATTAGCCTCACAGCTCTGGAGCAAAACTAAAGAAGAAAACATCAGACACCAAATACGTCTTGGCTGAGTGACCACATGTAGCGTAAGAGGGAAAAAATGGGGCAAATTCACTTTAAAGGTCTACAAAACTGATCCAAAAACAGTGCTAACAAACTAATCCTCATTTTAGCGGCTTCTAGCTCAGTGCATACATCCGTACCCCAGCTCAAATCCTGCCTTCAAACCCGACTTGTCTGCTGAGACTAAAAATAGGTCTGTTTTGGGAGGTCATTTCACAAACTCGAGTTTGCAGTGGAGGGGCTGCTGTGCTGAGAGGAAAAGAGGAGGCACAGGGAGCTGCGGAGTCAACTCTGGCCCAGATTACATGTGATCTGCTCGTGAGCAGAAGACTGAGGGATCGCTCGAGTGTAACACAAAGGACTGAGCGCCTTTCAAGGAAAACCATCCCAGACGCACATATACACGCACTTACTTACTTGTGTTTATTCAGTCCCTAAACACAGTCGGTGAGGCTGGGAGAGAGTGTAGGGGCACTGGCTCCTGTGGGGGTTTGCAGGGTGACTTTATTTCACTGTGGTTTGCGCCATATTTAGCGATCAGTCATATGCTGAGCTTGGACACTCATTGTTTATGTCAACTTGATATCAACATGTCTTTTTATTCCTTAGCAGAAAGTAGGATCATACATATAGATGGCCTCATATGTATTATGTAATGGAGGTTATACACACACACACAGACACACACACACACACACACACACTGATACATAACTGACATATTCAAAGTAAAAAATGGAGATGCACAGCTTTGATAGACAGTCTTGTGCCCACATCAACAATATACAAGCATCTATATGCAATAATAATACATCCCAAAGGAACTATTATATCATCGCTGTCCAAAGAAAAACAAGTATCTCCAAAGTAGTAACTTTACAGGAGACGGCAAAAACTTTCCTTACTTTCAAGGCAAGTTAATGGAAATATATTTTCTTCTAAGCAATTTTTCTATTTCCTATTGGTCAAATCATCATGAAATTTCCACATAATGTAAAGGACAGCTGCGGAGCTCGAATGATGCAGAAAAGTCAAAATAGCAAAAAAAATTGGAGACGCATGATTTTCCTTGGATAGCGACGATATACAGTTGCGGTTGGATCAAAACCTTTTATCTCCATTTAAATCAGGGGTGTCAAACTCAACCAGTAAACAGGGCCATATTAAAGAAATCTCATCAAATCTCTGAGCCAGAGAAAAAAAACTTTTATCACATTTTTAATTAATGCTGTGCTGTAACCCGAACTGGACACTGTTTATTCAAAATATGCAGAAACTTCAACAGTAAAATACAGACACTTCTAGTAGACCTTGAAATATTACACGGACACTTGAAATATTCAAAATTTAAACGTCCCCATGAGCTCAGTCTTTTAAACCTACCTATCTGTTTGAACTAGACCCCTGGCATCTTTCTCTGCTGCAAGTTCATTAATACTTGAGCTCTGAGCTGTTAAGTGTTTACGTTGGTTGAACTGCAGCTGAAAGGCATTTTGGTGATATGACTGGTGTGGAATTACGCAGAATTGTGTAGAATTGAGGTGTAACCGCTGTCCCATAGGCTGTTGTTGGGGTAGGAGAGTCGGAGCACATCACATTGCACTGCATGCTGGGGACTGTAGTGCAGTGCACTGTGAAAGGGGCTAATATTTATAGAAAATTCAAATAATTTTGCAGGCCAGATAGGATTGTTGTCGCGGGCCTGATCTGGTCTGCTGGCCTTGAGTTTGAAACATGGGATTTACATCATTTTACCCTTTTTTTACATCATTTTAAAGGGCCAGCTGCTGTTTCCAATGTGTCAAAATCTCATGACAAACAGACCAACAGAAATGGTCCAAACTGAACTAAAACTGTTTTATTAACTTACAGTGAAACTTCAGAATGTTCTTTTGTTTCTACGGCAAAGTTGCTGTTTTGGAGTTAATAAATATAATATACAGTAATTGATATGTAGTACGATTTTCTATATTAACCTTGACCTTAACCTTCAGGAGCCAAAAAAGAAACAGCTTTGTCTTTTTTATTTATGAAACGTAAATTTGAGTAAACACCTATAAATACCTTTTCTTCAGAAATTTCAAGGCAATTAAGGAAAAAATAATCAAGGCTGAGACTTTTCTTCACACTGAGATCTTTTTTTCCTCCAGTGAGAACTCCAGCCAGTGTGGCGGAGAAGCATTTCTAATTATTGCTTTGTTGGGACTTGTTGCTTGATTAAGATGGAAGGCTAATAGAGGAAAAGGCCTCGCTGGCAGGCCGGGCCTGGGCCATTCAGGCAGGGTCATGCCTCGGGCTCCTCCCAGCCAGCTCTTTCTCCTGCTGCCTGCTCCGACACACTGAAGTGTCAGCCTATTGAACAATCTGGCGCCACTTTTCCAAACGCTTTCACCTGCTGGACAAAGCCTCAGACAGAGCTACGACCCCCGAAAGGCTGGACGCTATTCACCACGTTCCCCACTTTCGCCTCCGCTCGCAGCGCTGGCCTCTCGTTCCCATTTAAGTGGGTTTTGTCATTAAAGAATATGGAAGGCTGAGCTGTGATTCACAC